TAGGACGATTATATTATAGTCGGATTTAGTAATATAAGTTTTAGCGAGGACGTATTTAGTAGATACGTAATTAAGGTGCGTTATCTACTCGTAATGGTTGAAAGCTAGAGTTATTTAGATAAGGTCTAGAGAGACCTGAAAGAATAGAGCTAAGGATATTTCCTCGTGATTACTAGTAGTTCGGGAGATTTGTTGATAAGCCTTAGTTTTAGCGCAGATATCGTAGTAGATAGGTAGGTTCTTACTACTTAGACTTATACTAGATACGGCGTTAGGTAAAGCTTAAATAGTATTCGAGCCTATATATACGAAGATAGAGTACTACTACTCCGCAGGGAGGTTGCGGGTAGTTAAGGTAGTAGTAATTAGAGCCGAGGTAGTATTAGTAGAATAGCATTCCGCGAAGAAATGTCCCTCTGCGAAGGTGAGGTTATAGATAATACTATTATCCCTCTTATTATAGAGGTATATTCGTCTAGTGTCTATGTGGATATCTTTCTCGTTTACCTTGCTAATTGAGATAAGGTTGCCTATAAAGGAAGGGATATATACTACCTCCCTTAAAATAATAGGCTTACGCTTATTGTTCCTGCTTGCCTCTATAGTAATAGTACCGAATAATTCTACCGGAACGACGCTGTTCCCGCTAAGAATGAAATCCTCTAGGCCTGCACTACGTATTTTGGTGAAACGCTTACTTATAAATCTATTATAGACGTAATAGGTAGTACCCGTGTCCGTAATCTATAAGAGGTTAAGAGTAGTAGGTCGCGTTAGTCCTTAGGCTGTAAAAGATATTGCGATAACAGCAGCTATAAAGGAGGTTGCTGTTCCGCTATCGTCCTTATCTTTTTCGCCCGTTAAGGTTTCTTACGATCTATACTTGTTTATACTCTTCGATCTAGCGATAGCCCTTTCTATATTATCCTTTGTTGTTGGATTGCTGAGCGCCTTCTAGACTTACTTCTAAACTTTCTTATTTGGTTTCTAACCGGTAGGGCGAGCTTTAGTATTTAGGTAGTAATACTAAGTATACTAGTAGTTGTAGCCGCATAGGCAAGGTGGTAGTTTATTAGACTGCTATTATCCCTTTAATAAGACGGCGAAGGTAGACCGAGTTATCTTAGGATCAGTAACCGCTCGTAGCTGCTGTATATATCTACGATACTTAGAGATAAGGTCTATTACATCCTTATTATAGGGAGACCCTTCGTTAATAAGCCTTTAATAGATTAGAGCCGCGTACTGCGAGTCATACTAGAGGAGAGGTCTAAGGAATAACCTAAGGCCTTGTTTACTACTAACGTTAGGTAGGTCGACTGCTCGAGCTTTAAGGATAGTCTCTTCCTATTAGGCAAGCTATCTATCGACATTCTAATTAGTTGGCGGCTTCTCCAGTTGCCTTAACTAGTTTAGTAGAAGGTCTTGTTATGTATCGCGTAAGGGCTGTAGCCGAGCCTATAGTACACGTAGTTAATTATACGGGTGCGCATCCGCTAGGTTCCGTAGCAGTAGCTGTAGAGAGAAGCTAATCGAATCCTCGATAAGCGAAGAGATATCGTTAATATCCTTAACATTACGATTATACTCTTTCCTATCCTCCTTATAGAAGTCGTATTCTAGCTTCTTAGCTAAAAGCTCAGCTGCAGAGCTGTCGTTTTCCGGGGCTAATAGCCTCGGTAGCTTCTTTAGTTATTCAGGAAGAGTCGGTTAGGTTAGATCGATAAACTTAAAGACGTTGGCCTTCTTTGCCCGTGATTAGATAATAAAGTACCATTCCTCCCACTCGTATAAGGATTTAAGGACGATAATTAGCTTAGAGGAAGCTATCGTAATTATATAGCGTTGTCGGACCGACTTAGTATTTTATACGACCGTGCCAGCGAGTCGGTACGGTACTTCTACGGTAACTTAAGAATATCAGCGCTAGCCGAATTCGTGTATTTGATGCAAAGAGTACTCAGCTTGATAATTAATAATAATGCTGATGGATAATAGCAAAGTGTTGCTTATTGGATAGTGTGTGACTGGAAACGTGTCCTCAATAGCGAGGAGTGCAGACGACGCTTGGATGCCTCAAGACGTCAGTATTGTTTTGTAGATATGCGCTTAGATAGCAGAAGGCATCAAACGCATTTCCGGGCTCATAACTGTTGCAATGAATGGGGTTTTAATTGATAGTAATGAGTGACATGATCTTGTTAGGAGCCCGGTAGGCGGAGTCCTCTTATACCCTGTGCTAAATGACTAAGCCACAGAAAAAGCAATATAAACTGCGTACACTTCAACAGAGGCTGAAGAGTAGATATGATGTTATAGAGATAGGCTTACAGCAGGGCTTCTTGGACAACGGATACTAAGTCCTTGTATGATAGTTGGAAATTTGAGTGCACATTACTTCCATTCCGCCTCGGATTTTGAACAACCTTGCACTTGTGTCTGCGATACTTAAAATAAGTGACCTTTGGGAAGAGAAAAAATTAGCGCCGGGGGAGGGAGCAACAGTAGCAGCTGTAAAACGCCGTGGTTAGTATATTTTGAAAGTCGGGGAGCTGAAAGGAAAGTTTAGCATTTGCCCTCTTGCATTGAAATGTCAATCCTTCGGGGCTCTAAAAAGGCATCATTACTTGTTATAGCCACCGAGCTGCTATAGGTAAGCACAGCATTTACTATTTCGTAGCACATAAACCATAAGTCACAGAGAACCAGACACTTTACCCGCTCCCCCAAACCTAACCACATCCCTGACCACCCTCTCCGCCATCCTCGCAATCGACCCTCGCCCCTGCCACAGCGGGAAAACGCCAACGCAAGCAGCACTGCAGCCTAGCCAGACAAAGCCCACAACAACCCAGCCGGTAAAGAAGCGCTTGCTGAAGACATACCCAGAGCCGTACAGCGGCATCGGCCAGAGAACCAAAAACGCCAGTGCCATGGCCACCGTGGTCCACTTTGCGATAGCCGACGCGCGCAGCAGTAACCGTTGCTCGTCGTCATCATCAGCGGCGGTGGCGATAGCAGCAGCAGCAGCGTCTGCATCCGCAGTGATGGCAGCCAGTTTCTTTTCCGGATCGGAGTCGCTCGCGTCGGTGTCGTCATCGGCTTTGCGGATGCCGCAGCGCATCGACGCCCAGTCGTAGTCGTCCGGCCCGAGCAGGAAGGTGAGGACAGGGACGTAGACAGCAGGCGACAGCAGGGCAGCCACGTTACCGGCGAGCATTGGGTCGTTCGCGCCAGTGCTCTCAACTGTAAGACTACCGTACTGCGCCTTCGCTGTCACGAGCCAGGCGACCAGGCTGGTTGCCAGGCCGAGCAGCGGAGACAGGGTCGCGGCGGCACGGTTCTGCTTGCGCCAGAGGAGGGTGAGCGAGGCGGGGAGGACGGCCGAGGAGACGATGACACCCATGAGAAGGTAGAGGTAGCCCATGGAGATGCCGGCGTAGTAGAGGCCGGTGGAGAAAGCTGCCATGGCGAGGCCGAAAGCGATGACGGAGCTGTGGGCGGCGAAGATGAGGGCGCGGCCGGTGGCGAGTGGGTTGATGTAGGTCTGGTAGATGTCGTAAGTCGAGATGCCGGACACGGCGATCAGCTCGGCGGAGGTGGCGGAGGTGACGGCCATGAAGATGAGGATGAGGGTGGCAATGGCGCCGCCTGAGCCGAGGATGGCGACGGCGGCGTAAGGGAGCACGAGGCCGGCGGTGACATCGTCGGAAGCCATGCGAGATGGGTAGGTGGGGAAGGACGGGAAAGACTCGGTTGCGAGAGCTGCAAGGCCCATTGTTGTGGAGCAGAGCCAGGGGATGGCGAACCAAGAGAGGCCGCCCATGATATAGCCTGGTAGAGCTGATACCGGGTGGGCGGCGATGGCTTTGTTGTAGTAGCCGTTGTCACAGAAGACGGTGCCGAAGTTGCCGACGATGTTGATGACGAAGAAGATGATTCCATCCTTGGAACGCATGGTCAGATAGCTGCCATTGGCGTTTCCTTCGACTGGATGGGCAGCAGAAGCTTCGATGAGGAGGTCGTAGACACGGCTTGGAGAGCCGAGAACGTCACCGGTAGCGTAAGCGGAAAAGGCGAAGAGGAATATGATGACGAGGATGACGACCGTGTGTACATAATCAGTAAGGAAAGTGGCTTTTATACCACCGAACAAGGTGTATAGGATGACTCCCAAGGGCAGCAAAAAACAGCCGGCTACGGGGTGCATTCCCGTCAAGCTGAAAACCACGGCGGAACCGCCAGTAAGGAGCATAGCGGTGACGAGGATGTTGGTCATAAGGCCAAAGATAATGCTGAGAGATTAAATTAACAGTGATTTGTAACATCAAGGGCTAGATGCGTACTATACGGCATGTGTTTTTGGTCCATAGCGAGCTCGGATGACTTCGAGAAAGGTATGGGCATTCGGAGCCCGACGTTTGAGCTCGATGGCAAGGGTTGAGAAAAGAAGGATCTGGACAGCGGCACCGGATGCGTACTAGAAAGCGTCAACAAGGGATTCCCTTTGATAAGGAAATGGGAATTACCCAGAAGGGACCAGAGACACCATAGCGGTATGCAACTCCCGAGGACTGCAGTAGCGTGGCAGCCCATGTCCACGAGGAGACAACGGCGGATGACACAAGACCAGACTTGACAGTGCGCCCGGCAGTGCTGAACATCTCACTAGTCTGTTCCTCACCTTGATATTTCTTGAGAATCCATGTGGTGAGAATCATTCCCAGCGAGAAGAGAAAACCGAGACCGACGACGATGCCATAGCCATAGGCCTGGCTCAATGGAGGAGCAACATCCATGTTTGCGACGAGTGATTATTCCAGAGGAACGAGAGAGACACGCACCTGAGGGCTTTATCTCACATAACATGATGGCAGCTGCGATAGCGGATTCCTCAGGCATCAACATTGGCTTCTGAATGATTGCCGACGGCGTGAGGATCGGTAATGAGGTGAGATTAAGCTATCTTAACACTAACGATAAGCCGGGATACACAGCCCGACGGCGTGCGGGGTGATGAAGGTGAGAATGTTTCGAGCGACCTCGTTATCAATGCGATAAGACGGCGTGGACAGGACGTAATTAGAAAAGCGGGACACACCCCAGCAGCCTCCTGCGCCAACTTCGTCTACACAGCGGGCAGTGGTAATTGGCAACGACAACCTGAACCAATTTGCAACGGGCTCGCTAGACATTGGAGCGTTGTGAAGCACCACTCAAGCCATATCGACGTCGGCCTCCAAGCAGTTTCCGCATCTCAAAGGCGTTCGTACCTTCTGGCGTCACAATAAGCTTGTGTCGTAAGCGCACCAAGCAGAATTATTTAGCACATACGACCATAGGTCATAGAGAACTAGGCATCCCGTCCGCTTTGCCAAATATAAGCTGTGAACCGGCTGATTAGTAGTTAGGTGGGTGACCACTAGCGAATCCCAGCTGTTGTATGTTTTGTTTTTTGCTTTCCTGAAGACCAGTCGTAGTGTTGCATCGAAAGGCGCGAACAAGGCGGGGACAGGTGAAGTTTTTGCTTGGTCCATTGACCGTGGAGCGCCAACGATGTTCTCTTGTTGACGTTCTTTTTCCTTTTACCTCTACGCTTGTATATGATCTCGACATGCTCGGCACAAAACCGAAACGCTCTGTCGCAATTCTCTGCGGTCGACGGAAACAAGAGTGCAGCAGACCAAAAGACGGTAGCCATGGCAGTAGAAGTACCTACTAGCGGCAGACGGCGTTTCCGGGTGTGCGGCAAAACGTCTCGGTCCATCTTGCCGGCAATCGGCCAAGCAACGGCCACGATCGACGCCGCCGTCGACATTTGGCCGGTAGCGCACAGTTGCAAGCTTCGGTAGCGGTCCGTGCCGTTTCGGCGCCTCCAAGCAGCGCAGCCGTAGTCAGCCAAGGGCGTGTGCGAGCTCTTCATCTTCCATCACAGCCCGCTGTATCGGTTCCCAATGTTCTGCTCCATCATATATGTTATGTGTCCCCTCTTCTGCATCGGCGAATATGTTGCTGAAGGCGAGTGTGCGTGTTGAAGGCGGACGGTAAGGCTGGGGTAGAGGCGGTGCCGTAGAGGCGAGCAACGAGGTGGGAGGACAGACAATGAACGCCTTGACAACTAGACTTCAGTGAGAACTTTGACTGCGCATAAAGATGTATCGGAATTGCAATTTAAATTCTGGGCGTAAGTTGCAAAGCTTAAACAGCTCGAGTGATGACAGAGTGACGATGGCTTCACGTCTCTTGGACTTGAGCAGAAAGCATGGTGTTGTGATCGATGAAAGAATACTCGTAGTGAGTAAAGGCGAAGGTGAAAGATATGAAGGCAATATCGCAGTTCCACGCACGAGGCAGATTGAGTGGCGGGCTGGACGAAGGTTGAGCTTCTTCACGCGTTGCTGCCCGGCACGCGCCGGCAGAACATCGGCCATGACGTCACGCCTCCAGATCGCGCGGCGCGTCGTCTGACAACGACGCATCTGAACAGCACCATCAACCACGCCACGAAAGTTCATTTCAACCAGCAGCGACACTACCTCTGCCACCACCGTCAAGCGAATCTTGAGCACTACTTATCCTCCAACATCGAAGCTGAGGCCGAGCCTCTACCGTTACCGTCGCCGGTCTGATCCTGCACGCCGCACAACTCTCTGCCCCCTCGATGCCGCACTGCTACTTCTAGCCCTCCTAACACGGATGGGACGAGCGCCTTCGGTCGCACGTACAAATATGGCAATGCGACGAGCGCCGAGGCGATGAGTAATAGGAGCCAGCAACGACGTGCTTAGCGCGACATGACTATACTGGCTCGGAGGAGATATCGCGCACGGTAGACAGAATAAGTTTAATAATCGGCAAGGTGCCATGGCAGCGACTGCTTGCTGTTGTGGGCAATGTGCCGAGTCTACTGATCAGTCTGATAATCAGTCTGATAGTCAGTCTGATGATCAAGATAATAAGATAATAATCAGTGTCACCCAACGAAGTTAGCTGCATAAAACATGTTTGTACCAACTTTGAAAAATCTACGCTAGAAATCACCTGCTAACTGTCTACCTCCTTTGCAATTCACTCAAACTCCCACACTAGGTTAATCGATCCAAGCTGGGAAAGCTCTCGTCCTACTTGTTCCTCCTTCGCCTCTTGACATAAATGTTGGACCAGAGGCTCTCGACGTTCTTTGCATGAGCCATCGGGGTTGGTGTGCAAGATGTCTTTGCTAACGAGGCGCTCTAACCACCTCTCCCAAACGTCCTTTCGCGCTTGCTTGATGCCGTACATTGTCTCCAGCACAAGGCCGGGGAAAGCACAACCTTTTAAGATCGTGGACCGCTTGAAATTTTTGTCGACGGCGTTTGACTCCACCCACTGGTCGCAGATGATTTTTGGGACGCCACACCGGTAGCATACTAGTTCTCTCGCAAAGTAGATGGCCCGTTCTATTTCCAACACCTCTTTGTACGCATGGCACCCAAGGCGATCTGTACAACCACGAAGGCCGTGATGTGCTGGTCTTGATGCCACCCAACATACTGTGCACTTGTTTCTCCATCGTAGCAGCAGCTGCTGGACATTGTCGAGGCGATTGACAGCTTCACTTCTGTCATTCAAAAGTCGTAGCCTCATCATTTGTTCCAGGCTCTCCGTCTCTAGATCCTCCGATTCTTCACTCTCCCCGCCGAGATCCAATCTACCGTCTATCGTGTTGAGTCGCCTCGACACCGATGTCATGTCTTCCTTCTCGCGTTGAGCCAAGGGATACACCCGATCATCTTGACGACGTACTGCTCTTTCTTCTCCTGCTATGGCTCGCGGGCGGAGCTCAACACGATATCTGTAGTTAGTCAGTAACCGCCGATGTAAACAGTCCATGAGGAAGAGCGCGTAGAAAAATCCTGGAACAAAGCCACAGTCCGTTCGTCGTTGGCGGCTCATCCATACTTTGAGATCCACAACACTTTCGGTTCGGGTCCACGTTGCATCGGTGTGTTGAAGAGCGTCCACTAGGATACCACCCTCAAAAACCAGGAGTGCAGTAACAGCTCGCCGAGCCACTTCGATATTTAAACAACCCGGTTGCCCACGATGAGTTGGAAGACGTCCCTAATGTTTTGGCTAAAGGTAGTCGTAGAAGGGTAGACTGTATAGGTTACAGGGGTCTTGCTCGAGGTTATCCTCATGGTTTAGTACCTCGTCCAATCCAGATTCCTGCAGTTGCCGTAATAGCTTTCGTGCGCGCTCGGATTCGGGCCACAATTCGCATGTTTCTAGCATGTGGCCTTCTACCGCACCGTAATGCCGATAGGCGATGCACAGCTCACAGCCGACATCCTTCCAGAAGTCCAGGGCAAACTTTATCTCTTACCATTGGGACGATATACTGCCAAAGGGACCAGCACTTCTCTCAATCTCATCCTTTCACCCCTAGTATATTTCCCTAAAGTTTCCAATGACAGCGCGTTGTCGCGCTGGCTCCACGAATTTCATGTAGCTATCGCTACGGGGCGGGTGCGTGTACTAGATCCTCGGGTTCCTACCGGAAGCCTGCCCTTGGCGATGGTCAGGGCTTGTTGAAATTCTCTGTCGTTTGTTAGAAAAGCTTGACATGATGATTGCTTGTTGGTTTCAAACTCAGGGACCGCAGAAGGTGGGGAAGAGATGGAAAAGTCGTTCAGTGGGGAGTTGATGGAAAAAGTGTGCTCGGTGCGGATAAATCTATCGGAGTGCTGGAAAATTGACTGTTTGCGTCAATACTACGTAGGATTACTTTTCTGTACTCTAATATGCTCTTACGAAAGAATTTCTGAGGAAAGGCTTAGGTATCAGCCTGAGATCTACGGATACAAAAAGGATAGAAGAACCATTCGCTTGGTCAACAAAGGATACCGAACTCAAAAATTCGGCATCCGCACACCACATTTGGTAGTTACTCCTACGGAATCTTACAGGCCGGCTTTTCAGTAATGCCGCGCGGCGATGCATCACTGCTATGGCCGCAGCCCAATACTAACTGTTAGACTATCAGACCACATTTCTTCATGCATTATTCTTTATATTCACCTTGCTTTTTCGTTGTCTCAACACCCTGTTACTTTCTATAAGCGAGCACATGACTGCTCCACCTCTTCATGTATATAAAGCTCGCTGCCAGACACTCTTTCAAAATCAAGCCGCGTTCTCTCTTCACTCGCACGGTTTCAACCATTCAATCCAACACTAACCAAGGCATTGTCTTTGATCCCGTAGTAGGCTTTGAGGTAAAACCGTAAAGCAAGGGATTAAAACAAGAGGTTTGTGCGTCGCCTTGCCATATATAAAAGAAAGTGGGCAAAATCATGACGGAATCTGCTTTAGCCAAAAGTTGGTATCTCTTATAACTTGTGTCGTCACTGTTATGCCTGACTATGATGCAACTTAGAAGCCAGTAGACTACTATAAGAGATTTTTATGGGGGTTTTCCATTATAAAAGCCTTCTCCCAATCCTGAATTTGAATAGGGAACTGCGCTTCTATACGAGCCCATATTTTAGACAGCAAGCGACGTCCTAGTAACCGTTCGAGCAACAATGATTCAGTCCTCTGGAGCAAGGCCAATATCTCGAAAAACCAAAACATCAGAGCCATTAAAGTTCCAGCGTTATTTTCGTGAAATCATCCAGAAACGTCTTCGGAGCTTGACCGCGAGATTGGAATGATACAGGAATTTGGGGATGATGCGAGCTCTTCCAGTTCTGACTCGAAACAGGTTTCCAGCAACAAGTCGTCAATAGCAGAACTGATTCGTTTAAGATGCTCCGGCACCCAGATATCATAGACATTTTTTGTGAACCGATAGGCCGTCCAAGTATCACAAATTTTTGGATCTGCCAAGCTGTAGTCAACAATGAGCTTGCGGTAGAATTTGGTTTCTTGCCCCTGGATAACAGGATAGTGGCCGTATATGCTGACATGCTTGTGGTTGTGGGAGACCGAGAAAGCAAGTATTTCGTGGTCGATCTCACTCTCGCGCCCAGCGCGCCTGTAAAGCTCAACGAGAGCCGCAACGGCTACAGTCATGTTGTTCGCATTCTGGCGGTCAGCGTCCTCAAACGCTGTGTTTGCGCTTTTGACTTCGCACGTCAGAAACGGGAAGAACATGTTGTTGGTAACTCTGAAGGGAGATTCTTTCTGGAGCTGCAGTGCTTGGAATTGGCCTCTGGTAAAGGCTTGTCGCTTAAATCCGACAGAGCAGTCAGGCTGTGGACGCTTGGACACCACGGGAATGCAGTCGGACCAACGCTGGTCTGTTTTTCCAATGAGGTAGTCCGACCATGGAGCTTGGTATTGGGCTTCTTCCAAAGGCACAATATATTGGCCGATGGTTCGGATGATCCTATTTTCATTCCCGTATTGGAGATAACCCAGTGTGTGCCGGATACGGTCACCGTCACTGAGCACCGTATCATTAGGGATGCCTTGGGGTGATTGTAAGAGTTTTTGACACCATTCTTGGCTTTCCCTGCCAATGCCCTCTCGATCCTCGTACAAAGAGCTGCCGTATTCTTCAAGTTCATTTGCTAAGCTCAAATGCGTGTGTCGGGTAGGCTTCATTGCTTTCGCCTTACGGATAAATCGCATTCTCTTGGCATCTGGTATTGCGGACGAAGACGTATTACGCCACGAAGGCGTACGAACTACTCTTTCTCTCGTCCGAGACTTTGGATTTCCAGAGAAGTGGCGACGGTTGTATCGTCGGCGTTCGATAGGATTGTTCCCCATTATGTGTGTATCCGTTTGCTTTTCGCGTCCGGTATTGGAGGCAGGTGAAGTCCCCGATGTGTAGACAGTTGGCTCCAAAGATTACCGAACAATGTTGGGCTTTCGTTTACATTCGGCGACCCGCGACAACAGAAGTTGTTGCTATCTAAGCGTTTAACGTTAGTTTTTCGTCCTGACGCGTCAAGAATACAGATTTGGCCTACCAGTGAACAACCAGTAATATCTGCAAGGTGGTCGCTCACAAGGACGAACTCTTCTCAACAGTGGTTCTGTGACACTCGCGCGTTTTGTCTTCAGTATAGAGTGAAAGTAGGCGTAGAAGCTCAGGAAATAAATAAAAAAAGCTGCCCGTTACGCGTATGGGAGCATTGATGGTGTAGAAAGATACTGAGTGACAAGGTTCAGGATGAAGAGAGCCTTAAGTAGTTCATCAGAGGCACAATGGGCTATAGGACTCAACGACGCGTCTCATGGCGTGCACAAGCACTACACCACCAGCCTCAGAAAAGCTCGGACCATAATTCGCCGACCGCTACCGCTACCCACTCACGGGTTTCGTTCCGGGGGCACCGCGCACGCGCGGAGTCCCATCTCACGGTAGAAGATCTCCGATAGGGCTTAGTGTCTTTTATCGGGCGATTGTTGCGCAATAGTGGACCTTGGGCGGTTGAAAGTTGAGGCGCGCGCTTTGGCCTTCTGCACGACGCGACCGCGTTGCGTTGTGCGCTTGGTCGACCCGGCAACCAAATATTTTTGAGTCAATGATCGCAACAGTGAGTCTTCACAAGACGCAAGAGTCACCCGTGTTTGTGTTTGGAGTTATGTCGTACTTATCTATGACTTTAAAATGTAGAGCGGTGATTTTTGGATTAAAACGGCGAACAATTTAGGCCAAGTGAAGCTCGTTAAGCGCGTAGTTTTTAACGCGTTCTTTGCAACGTGATAAATGAGGCAGGCTAATGTAACCAGCATATTTATTTGCGACGACTTAATGAAAAGATACAAATGGTCCGTTCTCGCTAAAATAAAAAGAAAGTTTTTGTGAAGCTAGGCGCGAGGAATTGGACGCCGCTTATCCTCCTAAATTACTACTACTTATAGAGGTATATATGCTGCTATATAAAAGAATATGTTTTCTCTTTAAGATCCTTACTCCCTTGCAGTGGATAAACGTGTGGTATAAGGGGTAAGGCTGTAGTATAACAACTAACTGTAATAAGGCTGAAAAAACGAGAGTTATCGGAGTGATCCTGACTGACAGTTTTCATCATAGCTCTGCTTTGTTCGTCATGGAAAATCGGCAATATCCGCCAATGTCCCTAAACAACAAAAACCGCTTATTAGCTCCGGCTTTCCAACGCTTGAAGGCTATTCACTAACATGATAAGCGGAAGCCAACGCAGCAAATAGGTTGGGATATACCGGTCTTTCTCTTAACAATTTCTCAAGTTTCCATGTACTACTTCATGCCAATCGGCCGATGATAGCAGCTGTCGTTGGCAAGGTTTGCAGCAAATCACGCAATTTTGAACCGAGCACAGCTCCAATAACTAGTGTCCGGGCGCAGGTGGCTGCTGGACCAAACATCACGCGTAAACACACCACTTTTACGCGTCTGTTTGCTTTGCCACGGCGAACCCGTGACAGGAGCAGACAAGCCGTGACAAACCGAAAAGCCACCTCGGTAATCTTTACTACATCTACACTTGCTGCCTAGCAATTGACGGCCACCAGCGCTCCAGTGGCTGGGGAGGTTGAGCCACTGAGCCTTTCGGGCATTTGCAGCCAAACGGCGGACAAACGCGCTGACAAACGCAGGACCAAACGCGTGAACAAGATGGCCTCGCTAAGACCGACGTTTCAGTCAAATTTTGCCTGTCACGTATCCAATGAGACACAAGCATTAGTGTTTTTTGCTGGCCGTTGATCCGTGAGCTGTGTATCCAACCTCTCTCCTGATATGAGTACCTACTGACACCTCTCGGAAGGTGGACTTGATCCTCGTTCCACGGCCAGACGATCTCATTCAAACCACATTGCCCATACCTTTGTATTGTTGTTCATCCAACTGTGCCCGACCGGGGCATGATGGCGCCTCGCTGGACAAACGAAGAGATGGACAGACTTCTCGAACTTACCGATGTGGGTAAATCGCGAGAGGACATCGAAAACACAATGGAGAAAGAGGGCTACCCTCGTCGCGGATGGCAAGCAACTAAGACTAAAGTGGAGATGATGAGAAGAGAGGGGATAACACGTCAGAGCTTGCAAGCAAACAACGTACTGATCTCTTTAAAAAAATCGAATGAAGCCAGGCTGACGTATTTTTATTTAGGTTTCCCCAAGCCGTACAAACGAGGACGATGGGGTATCAGCCACCAGACTCTTGTGAATGCGACTAACAGGTTCCTTCGACTATCTCACCCCAGGGCCGGACAAATTGGTTCTCCGCACCTAGGCGATTCTACCACTCCAGCAGTGTCTCCTTCACACCAATCGAAAGTGAACGTTCCACAGACACAAAACAGCCCTGATGCGGCTACACCGGAGAAGGAACCACAGACGCAAGAAGATCATAGTGAGCCGGCTCCGCTCACAGAAGGAGCGGAAACACAGGATACTCATTGTGGCTCTACATCGGGAGTAGAGCCAGAACCACAATCACAAGATGCTCACGACGAGACTTCGATCTCAAATGGCTTGCAATGCAAGATGCTCATGACGAGTCTCCGATCCCAGACCCAGATGACTTGCAAGCGTAGGAGGCTCAGTGCAATGCCTTGGTTCCGACAAACTGGCCAGTTTATGACGGCGAACATGAGGCTCTGCCTCAGGAAGAAGAACAATTGGAAGACGATCATTCTGGTGTCTCAACTACGGAAGACGCTAATTCTGATGTCTCCGTTACTGAAGACAACGAGGCGGCATCGACTCCTCTACGGCCACAAAGAAATTACTTGGCTGCACACAACAATTGGAACAAGAAGCGAGTCAACCATCTTTGTGAACAGGAGGAACGACGCTCGAAAAGAGTCAAGGAATGGGATGGGACGCTTCTTGTAAACAAGGTCAACTTAAAGGAAACTAGATATCGGATTAGAGGGCTCGAACTAGAGCTAAATGAGTTTGATCAGAAAGAAAAACAGCTTAAGCAGGAACTACAAAACCTCGAACAGGATCGACAAACGGTTGGCCAAGAATTACGGGGCCTTGATCAGGCAGAAGATATGATTAATGAAGGGATAAAAGATTTGTCGGGTCGGATCGACGAAGAGAAAGCAATGGAAAAGAGGGAAAGGGCCGAGAAACAGATTTTGGAGGAGCAAATTGCAGTATATGAAAGGAACAAGGCGGCCTTCGAGTAGGCGATGGGGTCGAAGTTTCTTACGCGTGCTTCCGAACGACATGTTTTTCATTAAAATATTTTAGTATCTAGTGGGTAACATTAAAGTACTAGCATTATGGATAGGTCTCTTACCTCGCGAAGACATTGTTACCGAGAAATATGATTAAATCTTAAATAGAGAGCCAAAACACGACAAGAGCTGCTTGACCTGGAGGTCACTGCATCCTCTGGTTCTACTCTCTACGTCTTGTGAAGAACACAGAAGACAAGATCCTCTGGCATGTAATGTGCAGGGCGGCGGGTGAAGGTTATCCTGACTCCCTGAACCAATGGTTAGTCGCCCAACCATTTTTGTGGCTTTACAATTGAAGGGATAAGAGCTGGATACAAAGAATCTTGAATTACTGCCTATTGCTAGCGGTCCCTACTCCTCTCTTCTGCTCGTTTCTTATCTTCATTAGCCATGAGACGAACTACCATGTCGGCTTCTTGTATGGTTTTGGGGTGATTGCGGGCGCAGGAAACACCAGTGAGCTCGGATTAATGGTCCTCAAATCTTATGTGGTAATTTGCACACGTCACGCCGCAGGAGAACAACTGGCAAGGTACACGTTGTTCAATGTTCTAAATACTAGGCACCAAAATTATTCACTGCCGATCTGCCTAGTGAACCTCTGCTTCACAATTTGCAGGGGTTAACATGGGGTGCTCTCTTCGATGTTTCTTTGGTCCAATCCGTTCCCAGGTAGTAGAGAAGTGAGTTCCTCCTGTGCCGCTTTTTGGGGCCTTGGAGATATTTATAAAAGTGGCCTGAAACCACTTTGAAACACTAATACAATTTGAAACGTCACCTCGTCTTGATTGATCACACAGACTAGGGTCTGAAAATTTTCAGCAGGGTAGCCGTAAGACGGAGTATGTAATTCTCCGGGTTTGTTGTTGGTGGCGCGCGCAATAGACGCGCGCTTAATTGTACATGACATATCTTTATGCAACATGCAGCCTAGCAACGACAACGTCATAATTAGGCGCAGATCTAGAAGAACGTATTGCTGGTAAACAAACAATCGATGAAGCTCTTGTACCTGATTGGTGTAACCTTTGGTCACTTTATTCAGTGCAAACTCTCACTAATAATTATGTCGTCGAAACTAAATGATAGTTTGAATGTATAAAAGCTTGATAACATCATTGGGCTGTCTAAATATTACCTTTGTAATCTTCCAGCAAAGGTTTCTCAAGCGCTATGTTCGTCTAGAAATTTGAGTACGTGTAACTGCGAAGGCTATTTACATCTCACACTGAATCCCTTGAAGGTAAATTATGTAACTAAGTCGAAATGCCGCGAAACAAATCGACGATAACACCATTCGGAAGGCTTTGGCCCTTCGATAGGGGGTTGTGCACCGCTCTATACTACCAGCCTCTTGGGATTGGATCAGAAGACACTCTGCAAGAAGGCTCGGGCTTTTCTTTTTGCTGGTCAGCAGATACATTCACAAACGGGATGGTCAAATATTGACGAGAAGCACCAAGTAACATGCGAGCATGGCATCATTCCTCGCACTGGCCAGGTGGTGGCATTTCCCTCCTACTTGTAGGAGGGAAATGTTAATTCGACAAGGGTCTTTGCTCTTGGCACTGACCAGGTGTGGGCATTTCCCTCCTACTTGTAGGAGGGAAACGGTAAACCGACAGGGATCTTTGGCGGTGAAGCAGGTAGGCAACTCACAATACAGCGATCTACGAGCCAATCAACACCGCAAGCAAGGACCGCCAGCGAACACAATCGTAGAGATTTTCGCTGGCTGAAACGTCATTTTACGCTTCTCTGCAGGCGCTGATACTTTGGGATTCACGCTTAGGCCTTCTGCCCTTCGATGCGACCGTGTCGGGGTTTACCGAGCTCATGCTGGTACTTGGGTTGGTCCGCCAGGCAGCAACCCGCCAATCAAGCTCTCTGCATTGTCGATCACAACAATGAGTTTTTACGACGCTTTTGTGGCTGATCATAGACATGAGGATAACGAGACTGAGATTTCATACACGACAAAGTGTAAATATCTGTATTTCAGCACAGTTAGCGGACATTGAGAGTTTATCAATCCAAGATGGAGCTCTTCATGTAACGTTGGGTAAAAAACGGGCACTGGAGTTAAAACCGTAGTCCACTGTTCTATGCCAGCAACGTGAACGGACCTGCCTTGCCGGAGACCCTGTCATAAAAATTCTGCCTTGTCATGAAGGCTCGGAAATATCCGCCAGTGTACTTAAAATAGCTACCCTCTGGCTTGTCTTTCAGATATCCCAGGAGGAGAGAGCTGCTGCAAGCGGGATGCAGTACCCCTCGTTAATTTAACACATCATCAGAGCAGTAAGCCACACAGCACTCATCGACTGATGACAACGTCAGCGGTCTATCAATTGCAAGGGTTACATTAGCGCGAGCAAATGGGAACGTACAGGGTTCTGATATTGTCCGGACTCATGTGGATACCAGGGCAAGGACTACGCGCAAATATGCTGTCGGGTACTCGGGAGATCATCTTCCTTCGAGTTTTACAACGCCACTCGGCAAATGTTGTCATGTTTACTTTCTTTACCCTGGCGTTGGCTAGTTCCGAACTACTGATGACCTGAGAGCTTTCGGGGACTACAACAAAGGTTGCAAACAAGGGACTCTCGTTGCCAGAGAGCAATATCTTGAGGCATAGTTTGCCTGCCGCGCACGCAAGGAATAATGAGCGATTATTGCATTTCCTTGATCCTTCCTGGTGGGGCTTTGCGATGGTAAACATCGTTGTGGGGGCCTTGGCGATGGTCAATCATCGTTTGTGGTCCGTGAGCCGATGGAAGCATTTATTGACCAGTTGGTCCGTGTCCGGTTGGGTACTGGCTAGTGGATCCTACCTTTGAATATAAATATCGCCCTCAGCGGGCTCTTGTAAGGACCTCATCTACATCCAGAAAATTTCATCTTGACAATCATATTCTCTCCTCCCGACATGAGCCATCGAGTTAGCAAGAGCAAGAGAAGACGCAATCCCTGGAAAGAACCTGAACTCCAGAGACTTCAAAAGCTTCTTGCTGAAATTCCAAGGCTAACCCATGCACAAATCAAAGACCGACTGGAGGGGGAAAGCTATCCTCGTCGGGGCCAGCGATCAGTCTCTGTCAAAATATGCGAAATTAGAAAAAAAGAGAAAGAGAGTTGCGAGACACTACAACCAGACAATGTATTATAACACTTTCCAAGATCAAACGAAGCTATGCTAACACATTGTTAAATAGCCTTCCTCAAGAGACGAGGACCATGAGAACTTAGCCAACGAAACCGAGACGCAGGTGGACGGTGTCATCCCGACAGGCCGACCGTTTTCAGTTCCGCCTCCAGACATTGGCAACCCTTCCACTACGATCAATTCGCCCCCGGATGCAACAGATGTAGATGTATCACAAGTACAAAATGCTCATCGGGGCACCACACCACCGGGAGAGCCACCGATGCCAGTTGTTCAACTTGCGCCGCCACTCCCACTCCCAGAAGAACACATGGAGAATGTCCATAACGAGGCGACTTCTTCAACAGAGGATGCACAACCACGAGATGTACACGGCGGCACTACGCCACCGGAGGAACCAGAATCCAGTGATGCCCACCGTGAGTCATCACTTCCGGAAAGGCCGCGAATTCAACGCGCCCATTATGAGGCACTGGTTCCAGAAGAACCACAAACACAAGGCACAAGTGGTGAGTTCCATTCCTGGAGGCAGGCGTGTTTGCTCAGGACTAGTTAGAGAGCAGCGGCTAACCGACAACAGGAAATGATCTGCTTACCACTTGTCAACACTTTAAGGACCTTCTTTCCAAGGACACACAAGCGGCACAAGGCAGGGCGGAGCATCGGCGGCCAGTAGAGATGCGCCATAATGAGAACAGTGACGCTCTGTTAAAAACTCTGGAAAGGGGGGAAACCCTGAGCGAAAGAGAGAAAGCGTTGGAAGAACAGTTACGCTCTGTACGGATACAGCTGGTGGAGAACAGACGGGAAACGGATGTGCTTGCGGAAAAGGTGGTGACAGATCAAAAGCTCTTGGACCAGTGGAGGGAGGAGGATGAGCAGGAAACGGACAGGCTACTGGCTGTACAGAAGCTTATCGATCAAAGACTCGAAGTGACTGGAAGACTCTGGGCCGGGATTTAGAGTAGTTTTCGACGTCTTTGACGTCTTTTCTTTTATTCTCTTTATTTTCTTCTTTACTCTAAATGGCTGGAGCTTTATTGATACTGCGTAAGGTAACGAGGGCTCTAGGTACTACGAACCAGTTAGTCGGTTTTTCGGTCAGCTTCTAACTTTTCTTGATAACAAAAGCATTACGCAAGCCCTCTATAAATGAGCGACAAACAAAACGTTTGAAGAAGCGAGTAAGTCTAAATAGATACTATAACAACACCAACAAACAGCGTGCTCCAAAACGAAAGAAATGTAACTAAAAAAAACTAACAGGAAAGGGCAAAAATCAGTAACAAGTCATTTCATCCACTACACAGAATCTACAACTCATCCACCGTAACCCCAAACCCCTTCTCCCTCGCAATCTCCAGCACCGCATTCCCCATAGCCAGATCCATAACGCCAACACCCACGCTCTTATAAACCACTTGTCCGCGTTGCAGCCATTTCTCCAACCTCTTCTTCTCCTCCCCATCTAGAACCTTCCCAGCCGAGCCCTTCCCACCATCCCCCGCCCTCGTCTCCGCCCCCGTCTCCCCCAACCACTCGGCGACCTCACCAATCTCGACCATCTCCTCCGCCGTCAACGCAGCCCGCACAATCTCCCCAGACTCCGCAAAGCACGCCTCGCGACTATCAACGACTATAACGCCGCCCTTGGCATCTTTGCGCGGGTTATAGCCATCCGAGGACGCGACGATGCTCTTCAAAAGTTCCGGGTCCAGCTCCAGCATGCTAGTCTTGTACGACCCGATCGCCGAGACGTAGACTTCTTTCTTCAGCCACGCGGCAGGGAACAAGACCTCGCGACTGGGCGTCGTGCAGAAGACTGCGTCGGCGGCCTTGACTGTTTTTTCCAACTCTGCTTTATCGCCAGGATCGACGCCGCGGAACTTGACCTGCCAGTCCTTCTCCGCGGCCTCGGACCGCAGCGTCTGAATCAGGGTGTCGCGCCTGGGGCCGGCACGATTCACCACAGCCAGCGAAGCGACGGCCTTGCCCTTCAGCAGCAACGCGATGCGTGCATGCCACAGCGCCTGCTTCCCCGCCCCGAAAATGACAACGTTGCGCACGGCGCTGCGCCGCGCAAACAGCGTCGTCGCAGCCAGCGCGGTCCGGAACGCCGTCAGCTCGCCCGCGTTCAGCACGCCTGCTGCCCTGCCCGTGGCGTCGCAGATGACGAGCACGCCCTTGAGCTCGGAGCCGACGAGGCCGCGCTGGCGGCCGTCTTCTTGCGCGGCGTCGTGCGCGTCGAAGGGCGGGGGCACGCCGATGATCTTGGCGCCTACGTGCCCCGGGTCCGTGAGCGGCATAAACAGCGTCGTTTGCCCTTCCGGCCGGGTCACGCCTGCTCGGTGTGGTTGGTACTGCGCTTCGCCGCCGGTGGAGATGGCTGAGAGGGCGCTGTTGAGGCGCGTTTGGAGGTTGAGGAGCGCGGGCCGGTCGAGTGAGTGTAGCAGGGAGCGCACGGTGGCGTTTGAGAGAACTGTGAATGGCATTTTTGTAGTTGTTTGCCTATACGCAGGCTTGGTGATGATGATTTGTTTGTATAATCGATGAATGCGACGCGCTGCGATGTGATGATTGTCGTCAGCTCGTATCCAATAACTCCGGGTAGCTCTTAGGTTCGTTTATCAACCAAAAACCTCGTAGTCCTCAGTCATATCCCACGACGCCCTCGCCGCACTTATAAACCCAGCATGACGCACCCAGCATCTATACGCAGCAGCCCTATTACTGGAGTCACAGACCCGACATCGGGCCTCCGACCGCGAGTAGCCGGGCGAATCGTGCTTCTCCGCATGACGGAAGCGGCAGCCGGTCGCGCCGGTGTCGGCGTCGCTGCGCGGAAACCCCGCGGTTGCCCCGCGGTGGGGCGGCTGATCTGCGGGTTTGGGTTCCGGTGATAAGGGTTGGAGGGTGCGGTGGTGCCGGGGGGGTGGAGAAGGCAAATTTGATGAGGTGTTTGAGAATTTGTGGTTGTAGATGTGACAGTGTTGAGAGATTGTACACCTTAATAGAAGAGGAAGGACATGTCACGTGCACGAAACATCACGGGGATGGAATTGGGCCGGACCGGCCACGACATTTGCTAAACTAAGATATTCAAACGCTCTTTCAAATTCACATTTACAGTCATTACAGTCAGTTGATGAATCGAATCCATTCTATTTTCCGAGCTCTATTGCTAGACAAACAAGATCTATCCAACGAAAACTATCGAAGCAGGAGACAGCGAACCCTTAGAGCGAAACAAAGATGTCGAGTAGTTAGACTGCTCCGCCTCACCCTTCTCCAGAACAAAAGAAGCCTCACTGGCACTTTCGTCAATGTCAGTCATCTCGGAATCGCAGTCCTCACACTCGCAGTCGCTCTCGCCGTCGTTCTCCGACAACAGCGCAAACTCCAGCTCCTTCCGCAGGACATACACCTCCGTCTCGAGCTCCGCGACGCGCTTGGCAAGCGTGATCGTATTGCCGATACGCTTGAGCTTCTCGTCCTTCTGTGCGACGGTTTTAGTAAGCACCTTGACTTGCTTGGTAAGGCGCGTGTTCTCGCTCACCGTCTGCTGGTAGCGCAGATTGAGGTCTTGGTTCTTCTGGCCCCTGGCGGCATGCTCCTGCTTCAAGAAGGAGAGCTCTTCGGCGTGCTCTGCGTCGGCCTGCGCTAGCCTCTTGTTCAGCTCTACGATTTGTTCTTGCAGTACGGCGTTTTGTGCACGCACTGTGGAGAGTTCATCGTCAGGCTGGGTGTCGGACTGCTTGTTCTCGTTCTGCATCTTCGTGGCGACGTTTTCGTTCTGGGGGTCCTTGGCCTCAGAGCTGTTGTCCGCCTGGTGATCGTCAGCCCCGTCCATCTGCATACCGAGTGGTCTCTCAGGGGTCGTCTTGCCCGTCTGCTTAGGCTCATCGTTGCGCTGATAGTCCTCGGCGGTTTCAAAAACCGCAAGCTGCGCCCTTAGGCGACTGTTCTCATAGGCCAGCGCCGAGATCCTCGCCGCCTGGCTCTCTATGACCAGGTCTTTAGCATCAACCACCTCGGCGTCTTCCTTGATCTGTTGCCAGGTCTTACCTTCCTGCTCGTCAAGACTGTCGATGCACTCCTTGGAGTCATCGACATGTTCGTCTTGCTTCGCCTGTTGGGCATGGTTGAGGACAATGGCATCCTTGAGCTCTTCCCGCACGGAGTCGAGCTCTGAAATGTCTTGCTGCGCCATTCTGTTGGCTATCCGCACGTTCGCGTCGGCGTAATCGTCGTCTGCTGTGCGCGGAAGCTCCACTGACTGGTTGTTGGAATTGGAAGTTTATTGAGGCATGTTGTGTTGGTAGGCAAAGGTTTTGGTCTGTTGTTCAATGCGTTGTGTTGCAATGAAGCAAAGGTTGTTTGATGTGTTGATGTGTTGTAAGGAAACGCTGGTACTTCAATATATAAATTTGAGAACGAGTCATTGTCATGTTACAATGTCATGGTAAAAGTATGAAGACGTTCTCTGTTCGTGAACAATTTTTCTCAACTGCATTGTTTTTTCTCCGCCGAGCTTCACTCAGCTGCTGCCATGTTAAGCCTGCAGGCCTTTGTTGTTGCTGCTACATTTTTGAGCCAAGGTCGAGTTATTACTTTTCCTCACTCTCTATAATGAAATATATACCAGCGACGTAAACGACTGCTACGCAACAGTCTTTGGTTTCGGTGGCGTATGGCACATCGAAGAAGGACGAATGAAATTTCGCCACATGGTGTTGTAGCCCTCGATAGCGGCGAGTCTGCAAGGCGCAACCGGATAGCCAAGGCTGTTACACTCCTATCTGTATGGAAGTGTGCAAGCTGTTGTTGGATGCAGAGGATCGGATCGCCATACTGGTTGAACGACGGTATCCTGTGGTATTTTATAGACTTTGGTAGGTATGGTATGCTCGGTACATGTTTGCTTTTTTGGCTCTTTGTATATGTCTTAAAATTCAACTCAAAGCGACAACTCTTTCATTCCAGCGTCGCGCGGAACACATCAGAAAGACGAAGTGCGACCGCGCCATCATGAGATTGTTCCCTCAAAGGCAGTAAGACTCTGCAAGTCGCGATCCGGTAGCACACGATTATTGTGTTTCATTGTGAGTAGACGAGAACAAACAGCGCGAGGGACTTGATCCGTGGCTGAAGTAGATGGGATGGGAAGCGGAAGAGATGAAGTTCAGTGAAGGTTTTCGATAGACAGCTGCATCGAAGACGTCACAGATAGGCGGGCCGGTCCGCTCCGAGCGACGCACAAACCCTCCAGCACGTCCGCAACTCAATCGCGGCATTCGCACCAACGACCAACGGCCTGACGATCTTCGGTATGATCTGGTTGCACTGCAAGCGCAAGTTCCGCTTTACTGTTCAAAACGAGTCCGCACGCCGCAACCTGCTTCCCCGCAATCGCAAATCGAAGCTGCGAGGCTGGTGGCTACTGCTGTGCTACCTACATATCAGCCATGAGAACGAGCCCGACGCGCCATTCCGTTTAATCCGGAAAAGAAACATGACACTGTCTTGGTTGCCTGGTACACGATAGGACGATGGTCCAGACATGCGACGCCCCCTCGACCCCACACACAGCCATTGAGCAACCTGGAGCTACGAAGACCACAGTGGGCAGATTTGGTAGGAAGGAACAAGGGTCGCAGACCCGATTTACATGACGACAGTTCACATGGCCGTACTCGTACATTACCTGAGGTCCACTAGGGAGATCGGAGGGATGGTTGTACCGGCTGTTAAGATCCTCGGTGGGTCTGGATGCAGATCCTCGTGGGATCCGCCGTCCACACGACACTGTCTTCTCCTGTTCAGGTAAGGTGAATAATCTTATCTTGACATTTTGGAGTCGGGTTGCGAGGGAGGGTGGCGGCGTTAGCGGACATACGGCACCACTCGTCATTCATCGCGACCTAGTCGTTAGCTCCGTCGTTAACGCCGCGCTTTGAAGCAAGGCCGCCAGCCACTCCAAACCTTACTCAGTACCTAACTCCAGGTCCTTAACGCCGCAGTACTGGTGGTACATGCTCACCATGACGAGCTTAAAAGCGTACCCACCACCAATCTCTTAGAGTAGTTCAGCAGCGCTCTCATCACACTTGCCTTTTCCTCTTGCAACCACAACAACCACCAAAAATGGGCTTCTTGTACTCCCAACTCTTTGTTACGCCCGCCTTACCCACCACCTCCTACGCCAAACGCACCGTCATTGTTACCGGCTCGAACACCGGCCTCGGCCTCGAAGCTGCCCGGCACATTGCGCGCCTCAATGCAGATAAAGTCATCATCGCAGTGCGCAACGTCGAAGCGGGCAAGCGCGCCGCCGAATCCATCGAAGAAACAACAGGCCGGGCTGGGGTCTGCGAGGTCTGGCAACTGGACCTCGCGTCCTTCGACTCGGTGAAAGCGTTTGCGGCCCGCGCCGCCAGCCTCGAACGGCTGGACGTGGCGCTTCTGAACGCGGGTGTCGCAACGGAGGTATTTACACTCGCCGAGGGGCATGAAAGGACGGTGATGGTGAACGTGCTGGGGACGTTCCTGCTCGCGCTGCTGTTGCTCCCGAAACTGCAGTCCACGGCCACGGCATTCCCGGATGCTGCTGCGCCCCCGCACCTCACGATCGTCTCGTCCGAGGTCCACGGCTGGGCCAAGTTCCCCGAGCGCCACTCCCCGAGCATTCTCGCTGCGCTGGATAACCCCGCCACAAAGACCATGAATGAGCGCTACCCCACGTCCAAACTCCTCGAGGTCCTCGTTATTCGCGAGATCGCGCCGCGCCTCACAGCCAGCGCGCCTGGTGTTGTCCTCAACATGTTGAACCCGGGATTGTGCCATAGCGAGCTCGGACGCGATTCGGGGATTGGATTGTACTTGATGAAAGCGGTGCTGGCGCGGACGACCGAGGTGGGTTCGCGGACGCTGGTGGCGGGCACGGTGGCGGGGAGGGCCAGCCATGGGAAGTACATGACGGACGGGCAGGTCGCGGACGAGGAGGTTGTGGCGTGGGTGAAGGGGGCGGAGGGGAAGGAGATTGGGAGGCGGCTGTGGGAGGAGGTGAGGGGTGTGTTGGAGGAGGCAGCGCCGGGGGCTACAAGGGTAGTTGGAGAGGCGTAAGGAGGGGCATGCGGCGGTGAGGGAGACGGGACGGGTACGTACGGTGGGGACCACTGGACATGTACGATGTGGTGGCGTTTTGAGATTGGACAGGGCGTCTTTGCAGATATGGATTGTGTAATGGCATCGTTTCTTGAGACTTGGCCTTGCAAGCTGGCCGGAGGAGAAAGGGGGGAAGTCCAGAGTTGGATGGCCGGTGGTGATATGCTGCCGTTGCGACGGGCCGGACGAGCAGGAGCGGCGGGCCGCTCCGGGTAAGCGTGTTGTAGATCTCTGCACGTGATGGGATTGTAAATCATGCATCCATCTCTCGCGGTGTATCATCACTGGATGGATTATCTAGATGAGATTTCCGTCGGGAGAGCCTCGATCTTGCAGGTCGCGTCATGTTGCGTGCTCGCGGCGTCAATTGCCTGCACATGGCCTCTTTCCACGTGCAGGAGGGGGCGCCAAGCCGAACACTCTCTCTCGCACCCTGGCATCCAACAACCTAGCATGGATCAGACAAATAAGCCAACCAACCATGCAAACCACACCACCTAGGTACGGATCCGTACGCTCCAAACAACGTCAAACGACAAACCGTCCAGCGGAGATTGGCTCTACCCGCCAAGCCTTTCACTCCGGCCTTGGCAGGCGGCCGTGAAACAAAGCGCTTTGAAATTGCAAATTGCACCAGCCTGGGGACCGTAAGTGTCCACCAGTGGGAGCGGAAAGCGGGTTGGCGCCTGCGGCATCCCGATATTGGCAGCCAGGCCGGACCGGAGGCGCAATGAAGCCGGTCGAGTTAATATAGGCGCGGGGCTTGGCGGGCGAGGTACCCCACACGGGGCGTTCATGCGGCCCCTGTTTCAGCGCAGCAACATGAACGGAACGGGACGCGCGAAACCTGTTTTCGGCATCCCGGGGCGAGCGAGTTGGGCCTGGTGCGACGTGGGCGACGGACCGCGTCTCCGTCTTCATCGCTTTTGCGCGTGTTTCAATCGTCCGCCCGCCGCATGGTGCGAGCCGTCAGGTTGGGATGCGTCTCCGCTTCCACGAATCGTTCATGCCTGGGCGGCGGGCTGCGATTTGCTTATATAGACGGGCATCGCTGCGTTAATGCCTTTTGTTTCTTCAGCAGCAGCATCACAGCAGCCGACCACTTCATTCTCTTCACCTTCTTTTCACCTCATACCAAGTCTACCTACCTCTCTTTCTAGCTAATCCTTCGCTTCATCACCACTACCAATCACCATGAAGTTCCTTTCGACCGTGGCCCTGGCGGCCCTCGCGCACCTGGCGTGCGCCGTCCCCATGGCTGAGAAGCGCGCTGACGCGGCCACGCCCGTTGGCTACGCTTCGCAGAACGGCGGCGTGACGGGTGGCGCGGGCGGTACCACCACCACCGTCTCCACGCTGCCCCAGATCACCGAGGCCCTCCAGAAGAAGGACGACTCCAAGAAGGTCGTCTACGTCAAGGGCAAGATCACCGGCAGCGAGAAGATCTACGTCGGCTCTAACAAGGTGCGTTTTTACCCTCGGTGGTTTTTGCTATGTTATTGTATTCAAGCTGCTAACGCTCCCCCCCAGTCCATCCTTGGTGTCGACTCCGACTCCGGCCTCGAGGGCGTCGGCCTCCTCGTCCGCGACGCCAAGAATGTCATCATCCGCAACCTGGCCATCTCCAAGGTCGAGGCCGACAACGGCGACGCCATCTCGATTGACGGCTCGACCAACGTGTGGGTCGACCACTGCGACCTGTCTAGCGACCTGTCTGCAGACAAGGACTTCTACGACGGCCTGTTGGACATCTCGCACGGCGCCGACTACGTCACCGTCTCGAACGTGTACTTCCACGACCACCACAAGAACTCGCTGGTCGGGCACTCGGACTCCAACGCCGACGAGGACACCGGCAAGCTGCACGTCACCTACTACAACAACTACTGGAGCAACGTCGGCTCGCGCTGCCCGCTCGTCCGCTTCGGCACCGTCCACGTCGTCAACAACTACTACGAGAACGTCTCTGTCTCCGGCATCAACACGCGCATGGGCGCCCAGGTCCTCGTCGAGAACAACGTCTTCAACAGCGTTGAGCAGGCGCTTGTCTCGGTCGACTCTAAGGAGGATGGCTATGCTGTTGCCCGCGGCAATGACTGGGGTACCTCTACCAACGAGGCCCCTGAGGGCACCCTTACTGAGGTCCCGTATGAGTACACTGCTGTTGACGCTAGTGAGGTCAAGGCTGCTGTTGTTGGCAAGGCTGGCAACACCCTCTCTGGCTTGTAAGCGTGGGGCTTTGCCACTGTTGGGAGTGAGGGAAGAATGTAGTGGGAGCCTGTCGGTGCTGTAGAGGTTGAATTATACGCTTTTTGCGCGATTTGGGCGTATCTCTGCATTGTGGTGATTGGTGCTTACTGTGTCGTATTTCTCAGTGTTCCGTGCCTATTCTGCCCGCTCTTCAGTTGGGATGTATGGTACTTCGAGATTTAATCTGGTGTCCGGAAATGCTGTCATGCTGATGGCTTTGTACTATACGTCAACCAAGGTCCTTGACAGCTTTTTACTAAAAGTTGCACTTTTATTCTGTTTTACTTTTTGTTTTGAGCACAAGTTTGAAAGGGGCACTATTGTCCGCTTTCTTAGAAAAAGGCTTTGCGCCTTCTCATCAAAACTTTAAAAGCTTTTACGCATGCGCGCAAACCAAAATGCTGGGATTAGCATGCACTGTCGTTGTAGACGAGCGGCCTGGTGGTCGGGGGTTCTGCGTTTTGGGTCCGCTGTGGTCTGCTCAAATACTTCGAGCGAGTGGTACGGCGGGTCTAAGCGGCCACGGAACGTCGGAACTTGTTGCGTGCGTGCGTGCGCATCAGTGAGCGATCTCGGGCGCTTGTTTGGATTTGGTGAGCTGGAAGGCGGCAGAATCGTGAGTTTGTGAGTGGGTGTGTTTGGCCTTTGGAGGCTGAGTTGATTCCTTTATTCTGTTTTAGAGTTGGCTTTGTTTTCTGCGGTGTACCAATCCTCGGTTTTATGCATGGAAAAAATCGGTTTGAGTATGAATCCTTTGTCCTTTAGATAATAAAAAGCCACGGTCTACGGCTAATGGGATTATTTGGTAGTTGTTGCATTAAGGTACTGAAGATAGAAGTAATGTTTTGTTTTATAAAGAGTGATCGCAAAGTTGAAGGAGTCCTTCTCCGAACACTCTAAACTTCAGCTACATGTGAAGACCTTGCGGGATAGTAACAGTGATTTGTTTATAGGGGCATTGAATGTTTCGAAATTAAAATCTACCTTTTGCTACAAGAATCATTTGAGATGATAAGTTTAACTTCAAAATTTGAAGTGTTGAAGTGCATGTCTCTCATCACAATTTATCTAGACTAGCAGTATCCGACATTCGGCATGCCCGAGATCGTCATTCCTCAGCGGCTGAGAGTAAGGCACAGCCTTGCAGTTGCTTTGCCGCTGTCCTCGCCGCGCCCCGCATCGCTGTGGATCTCCAGACGGCCGAGCGGTGCTGAGCCGCTGGCCCAAAATGGCATGTATCGCGAGAAAAAACGACGACAAAAGTAATGCAAGAGGACAGTAGACAAGCTACATATCTTGTTATTATCATGCTGTCGTGTGTCCAAACCTCTTTAAATTCTTACAGTCAATCTAATAACTTGTTGAGCTGTGGCCGAAGCCGCAAGCGCGACAGCCGCGCGGCGCCAAAGGATGCGCGTCGGCCCGACGGGTGTGTCGCTCGCTTGTGGGGCCCCATGAACGTGCTCATGCGGGCCGCCTGCAATGTGTGGAACGTGGGAGGGACGACATTGGTTGTTGGCCGTGGAGTGGGGTTTGGGGGCTGAAACTGCTGGCTTCTGTGGGATAGTTTAAGCGCTGAGATAGACTGAGGGACTGACTGCGCTGGCCATGCCAATCTATCGCTCTATTGGATTTCTTAATTTACTTTCTTGTTCTCATTCATACCTCGGAAGCGACAAGTGCTTGACTATAAACCACTGTTTATCGAGTTTAATCCTTCATCGGTTGTTCTCTGGGGGTGAAGTAAGTCTGGAATTCTGGCATTGTTTCATGTCAAGCCAAGGAATCCATACAGTGATTCTAGGCATCACTTGTGGCGCTTTTCTGCAATTAAAAGCTAGACAGTGTGATGCGGCGCTCAATCCGAGCTCGCTTAGAACTTCATTGGCTCCCAAGACCACTTGCCTTCTGTGCCACGAAGCAGACACCTACGTTTAATTTGGTGATGCATCCTTGCGGCGCCTAACTTGAAGGCCGTTTGGCGCGATTTCTGTGGAATAGTGGGGTAAGACTATTTTTGTGAGTGCTGCATGCATGGGGGGTTTCTGGAACCGTCCAATGACACTGAATCGTTGGCGCTTGCTGTGCCGCAACTTCAACTTAAAAACATGATGTTCGAACAACAAGAACATGAAAGTTTCTCTTTCCTATTCATACCAGCTCTCTCATACATTTGCATCTATTGGAATATTATCTTATTCTGGATTGGCCCACATATACCGATGTCTGTCAGTCCACAGAGGAGGAAGGACGCCCAAGAATTTATTGCCAGGATCCGAAAAGACAATGGAGGCATTTCAGAAGAACATGAAGCCTATCTGGCGGCTAATATGCCGGATGTTTTGGAATCCATTCGAAGTTTGAAGATGAAGTTGGGATCTGCAACCAAGACGTAAGACTCTCCCCCTCCTGTGAAGCCCCACTAATCAGGCTTTAAAGGTTGGCAACGAACTTGTACTCCAAAGAAACTCGGTTTTTATATGAGTTGGTTCAGAATGCGGAAGACAACAAGTATACCCTCATCAATAACTCTGGCCCTGGAAGTCCTTTCCTTGGTTTTGTTCTCTATCCGGACAAGCTTGTTGTCAACTCTAACGAGGACGGGTTCACTGCAGAAGACGTCAAAGCTATATGCAGCACTGGAGATAGTACGAAGACTACAACACACGGTTACATCGGTGAGAAAGGAATCGGATTTAAATCTGTGTTCAAAATCGCAAAGAAAGTTCACATCCAATCAGGGCCATTCTCATTCTCCTTTGTCTATACGAGGGACTCTGATGAGGATGGCCTTGGAATGGTAACTCCTTTGGATGAAAAATATGAGGATTTGCCGGAAGGAGTCCGTACTAGAATGACCTTGACACTACTTCACCCATTGGACTTCACTCAGCGTTCCCAGGAGCTCACAAGCCTTCCTGACACGTTGCTTCTGTTTCTGACAAGATTAAAATCGATCGGTGTGTGTATCTGCCCTTCCTCTGGAGACGCAGTTTCCATCATCTACTCGGGCTGCCAAGATCCTGAGCAAAGAATGGAGAAAATCGAAAAACGCACAAGCATAAACGGCGGTGATTGGTCTTCTGAAATACGACGGTTTTATGTTAATAGGACCCTCACCAACGATCTCCCATATGATGCTGCAAGAAAACACACAGACAAAGCAACAACCGTTCTTGCATTTCCAGTGGATCCCATGGATAGACCTTTCATACAAAAGCAGCATGTCTTCGCATACTTGCCTCTCCGCCAAGTAGGCTTCACCGTATGTGGAAATCTCTCCGATTTGTTACCATACTCGTAATAACATCTTGCCAGTTCTTGATCCAGTCAGATTTTATCACGCAAGCAAGCCGTGAGGACGTCTTCGATTCGCCTCGAAATCGTGCACTCCTCGACAGTGTCGCCGAGAACTTTCAGAACATGGTGCCATATTTCTGCGAGCATACCACCCTCCAATATAGTTGGATGAGGTACCTTCCCGACGATTCTGTATCCGATGATTTCTGGAAAGAGCTGCGACCCAAAATTATGACACTTTTGAAAGATACTCCTGTTTTGCGATCTTGGTCCGGGCGCCTTTATCGCCCGGGAAAGCTCCGCTGGCTCACTGAACGGTTCCAAGACAAGGGCAATCAGCCTTTACTTCCCGATCTTGATGACGAGGCTTACTTGAATGGGAACTATGAGCATGCAGACTTCGCTTTCCTGCAATCTCTGGATGTAAAAGTCTTATCAATACCGGAGTTTATTGACAGAATGGAACAAGACCTCAAAACCAAAAATCCGCGGATTAGGTCCTCCAAAACGAATGATGACTGGCATACGAGAGTCGCAAATTTACTCATGGAGCCTTTCAAAAACTCTGGATCCTCACGGCGTCTTTCAGATCGGGTGAAAGGCTTGCAGATAATCCCATTGATTCAAGGCAAATGGACTCAGTTCAGCCTGAGAAGCGAACACGAAGACTATGGTGTATTATCCTCGGACGATGATGATGATTACATGATTAGTCCCATCTTCTACCCCAAAATCGGAGACCACAACATCCCAAAAGATCTTAAACTCAAAATTGTGGACCCTGGACCACTCAAAAACGTTGCCCGTACCGAACTTTTCTCACTGATAGGAGTAAAACGCTGCAGCCCCAAGACAGTCATCTCAGCCATTTACGACAAGTATGTATGGCAGATGTATCCATATCCGATCAAGATTTTAGACTCTTTCGAACACCTCAAGTTTCTCTTCTGGTATGAGGAAGAAGGTAGTACTCTGAGAAATTCGCTGTCTCTTGTCATTCAAACGATCGACGACGAGACCAAAACAGTCGATGCCAATGCCGAATTGATCTACTACCAATCCCCAACTGATGAATATGGTCCATACCAGCTATTCAAAAGAGACAGCAACATCCCGGGATTCAATGCTTATCACCTTCACCAGAGCTATCAATCACTACTACCTGCATCTGCGTCCAGCCATGGCAGGACTTGGGATACCTGGCTTACTGAGTTTCTTCGAATTCGACGATTTCCCAGGATATTGACAGAGACATCGGATGACCCTTCCGCGGAGTTACTTTACATTATCGAAAATCGCCCAGAAAAGCTTTTGGGGTTTCTGAAATGTTTTTGGTCATCCTTTGAGAGCCACATATCCGAAAAGGTTATCAAAGTGCTAAAAGAAAGCAATGTCCCCAACGAAGAAGGAGGCAAAATTTCACTTGAAAAGTCATACGTCCCACTTTCGCGGATGAAAGCATTGGCAGCCAAATTTGAGACCTCGCAGTCTATGGTACTCCGCATGCCAGCTCAATTCAAACCTGAAGAGGAGTGGCCATGGGAATTTCTGAAGCGACTCGGAGTCCGATTCGCAGACGACGTCGATTTCTACCTGAGCATTTTGAAATCGTTCTCCAAGAAGCATTCCTGGTACTTTCCGATAGGCACCGACAAGACTGTCATCGAAATATACGAAGGTATTATGAAGAAATGTGTCTCGGAAGAGGACGTGAGCCGCGTACAGTATGTTTTACTCACCGGGTGTTACTGCTTTTTCTGACTCCCACACAGACATGACTTCAAACACTACAAGCTCATATACACACCCTTGAATCTATTTTCCTGCAAATGGGTATCAATAGACGACTGTGTCTGGGAAGGTGATGACTGGCTTGAGGTTAAAACACGCCTCAGCAAGATCGAAGGCTATAACGGACTGGAGCATCTTTTCAAAATGATACTCAAAGTCCGAAACGCTACATGGGAAGACTCCATTGATGAGCTCCGACTTATCAAAAAGAGCCAGGAGAAATACTTTAATGTATCAAGTATTTACAGATTTCTCTTACGCAACTTTGAGAACGAAACCAACTTCGATGTCTTACGGTGAGTATGGAAAGTACATTCCTTATTTGCCAATATGCTAACATAGTTTTATAGTTCGGAATTTGAGAAAGACCAGCTGGTTTTTGTTTCTGAGCGAAACGCTTGGTACTCTCCTTCAATGTGTATCTGGGCCGATATCAGAGTTTGCATTTCCGCAAGGATCCCAATCAGCACCGGTTATCTCTCGCTTCAGCGATTTTTCACCGAAATGCTGGAGGTGCGGGAGCCTGACTTAGAGATGCTCATCCAAGCTCTTAAGGACCTTGCTCTTGCCCGACCGCTTGCGATTGCTGAAATAAAGCAAATGATTGCTTTCACCAGCTCCTACAATCCGTCTCGAACCAGCTTAGCAAGATTGCTTGCGGTCAATATTCTACCAGTAAGGCTTGAAAACGGCGATGTAGAGCTGAAGAATTCAACAGCCGAATTTGCCATACCGGATCGGAAGGAGTACGATAAAGCTTTTCGGGGGAAGGCCATAACTCTTGACCTAGACCTAAATGAGGTGCATATGTCTAGCCAATTCCTTCTTGGTTTAGGCTTGGAATCACGGTTCATTTCAAATGTTGTGGAAGAAAATACGATGGTGAAAACGAGCAGCATCAACAGGCAACTGACAAAAGAGTTCAGGCTCAAAGCTAATGCACTTTTTCGGTAAGCCAACTCATAAAGTCAAAATTTTGTTTTCTACCTTGTTTACTAAACAGCCCTCTAATATCTTGCTAACTGGAACCAGTTTCGCTGTCCACTACAACAGTGTAAAAAGTAAAAACGGTGACAGTTCACTGTACAAAGCACTTCAGCATGCGACCGTCTCTTTGAGCAATGAAATTTTCAAATCGATCAGCTTGAAACAGGGCTTCAATATTTATACCACGGAAGGGATTCCGGCAAATTTCCATTTGGAAGAAGACCTGGATAATTTAAAGCTCTTCGTACCGGCAGAGAGCCACCGCAGAGAGATCTGCTATCTGCAACAACTTCCAAGGCGTTTCTTCGACTTCTTATCTATTGCAAATCCTTCAGCCGAGGCCATTCTCGTCAAAATCATGGGATGCAGTAGCCTTGAAACACTCGGATACATTTTGGAAGCTGCGGGAATCGTCGAAATTGATGGCCTTGACGACAAAATTGCCCTTGATGATATTATGGACGTGGACTCAGAAGATATCCAGGACGAAACATACAGAAAACACCTTGAAAACACTTCCAAGGACAGCATTCAAAGACAAAATAACGTCCCAGATGCTGACGTACCATCACACCAACCTCATGTTCCCAGTCCCCAATATGGAGCATTTTTGGACAACATTGTCAACAAAGCAGAAGCGCAAGCACCATTCTTTCCAGTCAAAGGCCGGAGACCACGCAAAGCTGAAACTGTCACCGCATCAATTTTTGGACCCCGTTCACCCGATCGGGATAGGAAAGTGGGTGCTGCTGGAGAGCTTTACGTATGTGTTGCCTTACCTACCCTTCCAAGCCAATCTTTACATGTATAGTCTAATAATCTATTAGGCTTTTGAGATGCTTTCAAACCTGGGCCTTCCTAACTTTGGACTCGAAAACTGGAAGAGTGTTATACGAAAAGAAGTACGCGCGTCCCAGAAACACTGCAACCTACAGCCTTGGATCGGATCCGAAACCTCAGACATAGTGTACAAAGACAACGATGGCATGCTTAAGGATATCTTATGCTGCTGTGGTTACTCTCATCTGAAACATACGCTGGCAGATGATGCGACCTATTATTTTGAAGTGAAAACGACCACCGGATCATTTGATGCGCCATTCTACGTCTCGAATGCGCAGTTTAAGCGGGTGAGTCTAGCAACTTCTGATCATCGAGGAGTTTTAAGTATTAAGTCTAACAAAGTTTCTTTATCTTGCAGATGAAACGTATGGAACTTGAGAGCAATTGCCTCGATGTTTCAGAGGTCTACATCTTGCTTCGTGTCTATAACCTCGACAGTTCCGACATAGATATGCAGGCATACGTTGATCCGTACAAAGCCAATAAGGATGGATTGTTGAGTTTCCAGGTAGAAACTTGGAAAGTGCAGCCAACACCCAGTCAGCCCTCGCCAGGGCCTACCATGACACCTCGTCCGCCCCGGCCATTCTTCCGTTTCATGCCTAACCCAGACAGAGCCGGGCCGAGAACTATCGTAGAGCAAGTTGACCGGACCGGGCTATCCTAATGGCCACGAGGATTTGGCATGTCCACTGAGACTTACGTTCGCAAACATTTGGGGGCTGTAGCGTCTTTTTCAGTTTGAAATCTCTGTATATACACGATCTTGCTTTGAAATTGGTTTGTCTCCTTGATGTTTCGTTTTGCTTCATCCGCTCGTTCTGTTTGTTGCACGAGCTTGCAATAATCAAATGTGGATTAATTCGCATTTCTCGCTCCAGTATACTCCCCTTATCATGAAATATTAATCTTATATGCTGCTCTAATAAAATCCGTTGCAACTATCCGCTCAAGTCCGTTAGCACTATAGCAGCAAAGCGCACATGCCAGAATAGTCGACTTTCTGTACGAGTTTGATAGTATATTTAGAGAGAATAATGGGGTAAAGGTGTGAGGAAGGATAGCTGGTTTTCGGCTTTCGTCCGGGATCTCTGCTTGCGGAAGGGTATTATTGCTAATAGAGACGACAATGCGTATGACTTCGAGCACGCGCTAAGGGAGAACCTCAAGGTGGTCGAAACGTCGGTTGTGGGGACTATCTTCATCTTCAGGGCCGAGAAGCCTAAGTTCACCGACTGAGTTGGGTCAGTGGTGTGGTTGTTGAAGACGGTGAACGGTTTTCGGCGCATGAGAGCGGGGGGATTTCGAAAAAGATTTTGGAAATGATTGTTTTACTTCCCAAGGGCCTGAAAGGCCCACCTTTTTTGTCGTCTAGGTGGATTGATGGCTTATAAGTTTGGAGTCACATGCAATTACTACATACGACTGACTTGATTCCTGATCGCAACCTTTCATCAGCTTCACTCTCTTGCCAATGTGGAGCCACGGAGGAACCTCTAGATCAAGCTACGCCGGTCTTGCCAAGGCAACGGCGTCAGCCTCTTTCGGATCTGTCAATAAACAGCCACGAGCGTGGCGCACCGTTCCTTCAGGTCTCAGCCAGCGGCTGTTCCGTGAAGTAGGCGCCGGCCCGATCCTGATCCCAGACAATCTCCTTCTCATCTCGGTAAGTCGATGAACTAGACGGATCTGGAATAACTGTCCAATGAAAGTTTGATGGTTCTGGCACCCCGCCTTTCAGTTTCGGGCGTGACCGTTACCAACGGGGGCTAGCGTCGGCGCGGATCATCACAGCGTCCTGGCCCTCCCTGGCGTCACTTCCTCTAATCGGACCTCTCACTTTCTCCATACACAAATTCCATCTCACTCATCGATCCCTCACACCTTGGCCTCTTCAATGGGTTCAAACGTTCAAGCCACTGAGCTTGTGCAACCTCTGAGGGCAATCCCACTGACGTTCTGTCAGTTCTCGTTGACACTAACGACTCATGGAGATAGCCATCTCCTACGCTAACTCTGCCTCCAGCCGCACGCTAACCAAGCCACTGAGCCACTTCAGCTCGCATCTGACAAGCTGCTGTCTATCCGTCCCCTGAGCTAAAATCCTGTAGAGAAGTCAAGTATGTAGACTCGTAGCGTATAAATGTTTCGCAGGCCAAGTATCACGACCGCTTCTTTTTCACAGTCATCGCGCAACCGTCTTTCTTTCCACCAGGTCTACCTGGATTGTCCTTCACTTTTCTTTGACGCCTTGACGACCTATCACGCTCTTTTTTATCGTCAGCAATCATGAGATACGCGCTCCTCGCAGCACTCTGCGCACCACTTGTTGCGGCTCGGCCCAACCCGAACGTCAGCAGCCAATGCACGCCCTCAGAGTAAGCCGCCTTGTAAATCGTGCATGGCAAGGTCAATCCACTGATGACGTACAGGGTTACCGTGGCGGGGTCGACACAGTTTGAAACCCGCACCGAGACCATCGTGCAAACCAGCACCGTTGTTTCTACTGGTGAGTGTGATGCAATATCATCCACGTTGCATTCCTGTAGCTAACTAGCGCAGTCACGAGCACTGTTAGCGTTCCAACTACTACCACTGTCGCGCTTCCTGGACAACCTACCACTGTGACACTCCCTCCCGCGACTGTCACGCTTTCTGGAACCTCATCTGGCCAAGCTACGACCGTCACTGTCCCCGGTTCTACAACTGTCCTGGTCCCTGGCGCCCCCGGTACAGTCACTATTCCCAACAATGGTGCTCAGGTTGTCACTGTCACTGTCCCTGGCAATGCGAAAACCGTCACTGTCCCTGGTGAGACTAAGACAATCACCATTTCCGAGGTCGTCAAGACCGTCACTGTTCCTGGTGTTGCTACCACCATCACGGTCCGTCCGCAGACCTCTACCATGACGCTCGCCCCTGCGACCCAATCGACGGCTGTCACCATCCCTGGCGGCACCACCACCATCACCGTTCCTGCCGAGGTGAGGACTGTCACTGCCGAGCAAGGTGTTCAGACAATCACGGTTCCGGCGCAAACTCGCACCATTACTCTGCCTCCCCAAATTGTTACGATTACTGTCACGCCGACCCCTGTGTCCCCGAGCAGTGTGGCTTCTGTTGCCACTACGTCGCAGTCTACTGTGTCCAGTGTCTCGTCTGCTGGTGTCTCGTCTACTGACTCTTCCTCCACTGTGACTGGTACGGATGTCGAGGCTGCTAGTGTGAGCTCGGCCACTTCTACTTCTCAGTCTTCCGCCGCGACCACCGAGACTTCGACTGCTTCTACGGACGTTACCACCACTGCCACCGAGACCTCTACCTCGACTGAGACTTCCGCAAGCACTGAGGTTTCTACAATCTCTACTGGAACTTCTGCTACCGAGACCTCCACCAGCACTGAGACTTCTACTGCGGAGAGCACTGCTACCACTGAGACTTCCACTGCGGATACTGAGACTTCTGCTACGGAGACTTCTACTTCTGAGGCTACTACCACCCAGGCTACTACTACAGAAGCCACCACTACGGAAGCCACTACCACCGAAGCCACCACCACTTCTGAAGCTACTACCTCTGAAGCCACTACTTCTGAGGCCACCACCACTGAAGCTACCACCACTGAGGCTACCACCACTTCCTCACCGACTGTCGACCCGCTCTCCAGTGCAGTAGCGGTGATTACATCTGAGGCCCTCCAGCCCTTCTGCTCGACCATTCTCGACTACACCACCCCAACTGTGACGTCCACTGAGGCTGGTACTGTGACCGTACCCACAACAGCGGTTATTACCAGTGGAGTCTCTGTAGTGACTGTAACTGTCACTGCGATAACAACCATTCGGTCTTCCACTCGCATCCCCTATGATACCTACACCAGCTTGCATCCCAATGTCCCCTACAAGCGCGAAGCTTTGGCGGGTATTCCAGACACGTTTACATTCGTGGACATCCCGGACACAATGACAGCGGCCGAGCCCGTTGCTGCCACGGAGGCAGCCATTACACCCGCGGATCTTGCAACATTCGAAGCGGGCATCATAACCGCCGCTTGCCAGCTTCAAGCCACTCCCGTCTCGACTACCGTGTACACGACTATTCCGGCACAGACTGAGTACAGCACCATTACTTCTATTGTTCCGAGCACCACGTCCACGGCAACCTCTACCGCCTTCTCTACAGCTACAGTAACCCAAACTATCATTGTTGTGGGTTTGTAAATAGATATATTGGCGGGTTTATATAGTTGGCTAGCGTCTATTAATGCACTTAAGCATTCTACCTCCGATATTTTTTAAATTCATATGCCGCATCTCATGACCCGTCGGCACGTAGCGCGATAATTTCACGTTAGACATTTATTTAGACGGAGTCCAGCACATCCCGAGGCATGTGCATACGTATAGCTAACCAGCTTAATGTGCCGCTATCGTATAATTTTCACGAGGGAGAGGCATAATATCCAGCGCCAACGAGACTAGGGAGGTTCGACTTAGGAACCCGATGCAAACAACCGGTTAATAGCACAAACACACATGTTGGGCAAAGAAGCAGAACCGATTGATTGCAGATGAAGCAACAAGTCACGTGATCTAGTCACGTGAAGACTACCAAAAGCTAAAGTACCTATCCTGACGCGCACGACAGCGCCGAACGCGTAACTTGTGCAGAACAGAAGTAGGCGAGCAGAGCACTAAGTGGATATGCGTTTGGCGTGTGTGTCGTGTAAGCTGCGAGCTACGTAGTACCTTACGGATGTGTGTCTGTATGCATGCATGCATGAGCCGACTCCACTATTAAAGCTCAACCTTTGGTCTCTTTGGCGTTCATTGAGAAAGTATTGGACGAAGCCAGAGAAGCTTTGCGCAGTGTGCACACTAGAGAATTGAGATCGCTCATGCGTGCACGATGTTTTATACGATAATCACGGACTTCAGGTCTCAAACACGCTCGAAAATAGGCAGAAGAAGCAGCTATGCAATTAGAGGATTAGGCTAATTTACAAAGCTAGAACCATAGACACTCCTCCTTTAAACCATGTACAAGCGGTGGCAAACGACGCGCTTAGTTGAGCTCGTTGATGTAGAGCTTGACGACTTCGTAGGCGGGGCCGGTGTGGGGGAGGGCAACAAAGTAGATAGGAGCGGTGCCGTTGCCGCCGGTGGGCAGGGCGAAGGAGCCGCCATCAGCGTCGAGGTAGTCGACGCCGTCGACGGTCTTGACGGAGAAGGCGCTGATGTTGGCGTTGATGGGGGTGGCGCCCGAGTGGGGGACCGTCATGGAGAGCGGCTGCACCGCCTTCTCGATGACGTACAGGTTCTGCCAGCCCGTGGGCGCGGCGCCCTCGGCAGTGAAGGTGACCTTGCCGTCGCCGCCGCTGACTGTTGCGTGCGTTAGCGCCGAGAGCCGTGTGCGTTTGTCTCCGCTTGAGATGTCACTTACGGATCGCGAGCGGCCTCTTCTCGTTGGGGCCCGTGGCCTTGTAGAAGTACTGGCCGTCGGTGACCAGCTGGGCGCCACCGTCGGTGGCGACGGTGAACTTGTCAAAGTTCTTGGCCATGGCGGCGGCGGCGAAGGCAGTGATGGCGGCGAAAGAGAACTTCATTGTGGTGGTCGTGAATGGTCGTAGACGTTATTATGTCTTTTTTTGAGCTGAAGGAGTGATGGGTTGGGTTGCTTTTGGCTGAAATGCTCCCGAGGGATATATAGCTTTGGCAACGGCTCGAACGTCCCCTATGATGTCAGGGCATACGAGCGTCTACGGTGTTGTCACGCATGCATGGAAGCATGTCACCCTCGACCGACAGCCGGTCCGTGCACCTCGTATTGCCAGGCGGGTAGGCGGCCTTGCACGCCTCTTCCGGCTTTCCCGCGAACACGAAGCGGGAAAGGGGTCATGACGCTTAAAGGGGACAGTTGAAACAGGTTGTTCGGGCATGCATCGGAGCATTCGAAGCCGGGAAGTGTCATGTCGAAGGGTTGCAGGTTGAGTAGGTTGTGCTGCTATTGATAGCAACGGTGCACGGCTAGCGCGATCGAAGAGGCAGGCGGGCCGATGGAAAAGCCGTGTTTCTTTCATGTGGGTGCTAAGCGAGCTGTGCGTCTATAACGATCATTGATATACACAGTTAACCTTAATGGAACCTTCAAGTGGCCCGACACCCCCCGCCACGTCACGTCGCACTCCTCAACAGCGTCTCCCTATACGCCCGCGGCTCGACGCTAACCGCCCGACCCTCGTCGTCCAGCTCAATCACGAAGTCATCAATCATCCGGCTGGCAACCTGCGCCCGGTCGCCCAGCGCCCACGAGACGCAGGCTGTGTCGATGGGACCGCCCAGCCACGATGCTGGAAGGGCCTCGGTGATGGCGCGGAAAGCGTACTTGTTGCCTCGTGCCAGCCCCGTGGGGTACAGGCGCACGCTTGCACCCGCTCCCGCCGCCGCCAGCACGTCGACGCCATGGCTCACCCACTCGGCCACCAGCAGCCCCGGCTTGCCATCCTCAACCACGATGGACATGGCAGAGTCGTCCGACGCGAAATCCCCCGCGTACGCCGCCGTTGCCTCTTCGCGCGCCGCAGCCTCCAGCGCTGAAACCCACGTGCGCGCGGCCAGATCGCTAAGATATCTTATCTGGTTCCCCGCCGACGGAAGTCCGGCGCCGAGAACAACAAAGCCAAAGTCCCGGTCGGGCTCAAGCACAAGGTAGCTGCTGTACGCAATAATGTCTCCGCCTTTCGTGTACAGATCGACTCGAGTCGTCGAGGTGTTTTCTGCCTTGCCATCCGAAAGCGGAATTCGCATTGACGCTATTTCCCACGGTGCTCCGACTGCCTGGGTGTCATCCGAAGTACGAGCGTGGGGCTTTAGCCATCGGCGGGTGAGGGCCTTTGAGAGAAGGCTGGACTGCAAGATCGACTGGCCAATTGCCGTTACATCGTTGGTCGTCGAATAGGCGCTTCCGGCCCTGCCGATTCGAACCAATGAGCCGGGCACCCTGAGAACTAGGAACGGCCTTTACTTACGGGTTGTTGTCCTGAAGGTCCACGCCCCACCCGGAGGTCGATGCGGCATCGACAAGGCCTCCAGGAACCACTGCATTCGACGTGTCGATAGGGGTCTCGAAGGTGGTATGCGAGAGCTTCAATGGGTCGACGATCTCTCGGCGAAAAGTCTCGGTAAGGGGCTCGCCCGTCATGTTCTCCAAGGCCCATGCAAGGACCATGTACCCATCGTTCGAGTAAACGGGCGTCTGGAACGGCGGCATGAACGGACCCAACTTGTTAAGACCCTGGATCTGCTCTGCGGATGCACTCTTTCAGTATCGTATACGCTTTGGCCAACCACGCTGATCAGAACCTACGTTGCTTCGAACATGCGGGAAGACTCGGAGGGTTTGGTAGCAAACCGAGGCCGCATGTCGGAATGTCGTTCTCATCGTACGTGCTTGGCAGCCCAGCGGCTTCCAGCGTGGAGCTGTTCTCGAAAACCTGGTCTCCCCAGGCGTCTTTACACACAACATGTCAGAAAGTCACTTCAAGTGCGATTCGCCCGCACTGGGTGCACGAAGCCAGACGTACTCATGCGCGATATCCCGGCAAGATGGGTAGCCAGCGCCCCGATGGTGACGTCCTCCCATTGGATACTCCGAAGTTCGTCGTCGGTCTCGCCGTCCGAGAGCTCAGGCACAAATTTGGTGATGGGCTGGTTCCAATCGACATCGCCTTGGGCGACAAGGAGGGTGTACAAGGTGAGCAGCTTCGACACGCTTCCGATGCGGTAGATGGAATCACCATCGAGAGTTTTGGACGTCAGGCCTTCGTCTGCAACCTCCGATGGGGCAGCAACGTGGTGGTAGGTGAACAAAGAGGAGGTGCTGGAGAAGACGCTTATGGAGAAGAAGGTTTCGTTCAGGAGAAGCGAAGAGCCCAATTCGTCGGCGCCATTGAGGGCATCCTCGAGCTGCGCAGCGAAGCTCTCTTGTGCGCCCTGGATTGCTGACGTCGACAGCGGATTCCGCGGCGGAGGGAAGAGCGGGCCTTGGTATGGACAGGGCTCATTGGAAAGCAGTTGCGCATAGGCAGGGACCGTGGCGAAAGAAATAAGAAAAGCCGAGGTAAGCATATTGAGAAGAGCCATGGCAACGAAACCAAAGAAGCAGAGACTTGATCGTAAGAAGAGAAGAGGAAGCCGAGAACTGATTGTCAAAAGAGAAGGGGTGTCCCGGCTAACCTTTATATGTCTTTGGATACAAGGTATCACAAGTACGACGTGTTGAGATGATGCGGGGCTGGAAGGTTACGCCTCATACCGCAAGTTGTATACAGGCGGCGGCGAACTGCAGGTGAGACTGAGATTGGAGTGAATAAGCTTGGTGTTTAGCTGTCTTTGGCCGAGGCGGTAGGTGGGGTGGACGCCAGGCTCCTTCCGTTTCCGGCGACACGGCTGTCCAACAGAAGCGCAAGCGGCTCAGCCATCTGACCCACGGATCTCGCGCTCGATATCGCGTGGCGGCACGCATCTGACCAGCGTTGCTTCTCGGCAGAGGCGTAAAGTTTGTGGTTTTCGGGACGGGGATCTAGTCAATTTGGCTTTGTGGTACATACGTAGGTTGTTTTTTCCCCCTTTCTTCTTCTTTTGCGGCTGATTGTTTTCGTACAGCTTCCGATGCACCGCCCCCCGCCGACGCCACGTGAAGAAAGCAAAACCCCATCGATCTTCTTCCCGCTGTGGATGTATCGCATTGATGGTGGCCAAGCCTGTCCACGCGCGTAAGACAGATTATGGGCGGTTAGTCATGGGCGAGCTCGATCCGCAGTCAGACTCAGATACACCGCCATGCCCGATACAGTCATCTTCGCCGCCCGTGTCCGCTCGGTATTTACGGCATGCCAACCCCCATTCCCTCTCTCATTTCTCATTAGCAAAAGCTGAAAAAAAAAAAAGACGCCTCCATCTCCACCTCCGCCCGTGCCTCCGCCTCGTCGCCGAAAAGTCACCGGCAAGGAAGGCCAAAAGCCATCGCAGCCATCGCAGGCAAATGCCTCTCTCGGACACAGCTCCTAAAAATCGAGACGACGAGAGGGTTCTAGCGGTCTAGCCCGTGCAGATCCACGCAGCCAGGTCGGCGAGTTTCGGCGCCTGACCACGGCGTAGGTCGGCATCCCGAGGCGCCAATCTTCATGCCTTGAGCAGGGCGCGCGCGCGTGTGCGTCAGCTGCGCCGCCGCTGTCATCTGGAGCGCGCATCCTGGGTGCTTATTTGTGGCCTTATGGGTTGCGTGTGGCAGGCATACATAATGCGGGGGAGGGAGAGGAGGGAGACGGTAGGGATGTTTGACGGTAGGATGCGGTACGTTGGGTAGGGTGCAGAGTGAGATAAGGCGCGCAGCTGCCCGCATTAGCTAGCCTGCTGGCGTGCTGGCTTAGAGATGGGCTTCCCGGCGCGGATCTTGGGTCAGATCCTGGGCGTGGTCAAGCGACGTGAACGTGTGGGGCGCCTGTTCGTGCGACTGCGGGCTGGGTGTGTGTGTGTGTGCGTGTGTGCGTGCGGGTGCGGGTGTGACGTCACTCACTAGGTTCTTCCAGTTTCGCGATGCGACGACGACGACGGCAAGCCGCGTTGCGTAACTTTCATGTCGTGTCGCATCGCTTGGAGTGTGGTTTGTTTAGATTGGGCTTTGTTTTCGCGCTGTGTGCTGTGTTGCGCACTGCTGGTGGTTTCAGCTGCGCGATACAGTAGGTACCTACCGCGCTCCTGCTCCAGCCTGCCTGCTCCAGCTCCAGCTCCAGCTCCAGCTCCAGCTCCAGCTACATACAGCAGCTCCGAAGCCGCCGCACTGTCGCCAGCCAGCGGCGGGCATCAACGCGCCGCCGTACCTACCTACGTAGCACAGTTCGCAAACGCGCATTGCATCGCATCCCGCCTAGACCCACGTCATACATACGTAGTACTATGTCCGTCGCACAGAGGTACTCGAGTAGGAATCCCCAGTCCCCAGGCCCCACCTTCTTCGCGCACCCATGGCCCATGGGCCGTGTCGCTAATCCGTAAGCCCTGCCAGCCAGCCGATCGCAACGTGCAGCCAGCTCGTGAGCTCGAGCCGGGCGTGGGGCTGTGCCGGGGGTGTGATTGGTCGCTTGTGGCGTGTTTTGGTTGCTTGCTGCGACGCCCGTGGGGTTGCTGACGCTAGGTAGGTGTTTCTTGCCTGCCTATAGGTACAGAGGTGGCTGGATCGCGAGTGAGTGGTGGATTAGAGAGGTAGGTGCGCGCTGAGATTCCATGTGGATGACGTTGGGAGCAGAGAGCTGGGGCTTGCTAGGTGTTTGGTGAGGTTAGTGGTGCGGATGGGGGTGCTGTTTCTTCCACCAAGCACGCATGCGCGTTGGGCGCGGTGGGGGGTTGGGAGTTGGGAGTTGTGATGGCGTGGATGGAGATACGGCGGAGATGGGGATGGAATTGAGCAGACTGGAAGGTAGGCTGTTGGGAAACGGACATGTCACATGGGCAACTAACTCCTTTTCGTATTCACGGAGCGGATCAGGTAGGCAGAAACGGTGCGTTTCTTTTTTGTATCGGGAGAAAGTAAGCCGGAAAGGCGCGCAAGGTAAATACATCAAAAGGCAACGATCCCCCAAGCTTACATCCGAACCAACCACAGACCTGCCTCGTCAACGACCGCTCCACCACGCTCGCCTTTGGCAACTCTTCAAGAATCCACCTAAGCCGGCGTAGCCGCAGCGCCAGAGGGAGCAGCGCCAGAACCGCTCGGCGCGGCGCCGTCACCGGGGCTGAAAGAGTTACCGTTATCAACGGCAACACCACCGTCTTCGGTGTACTCAAAGCTGTAGCTCGTCTCATACGAAGCGGACGTGTTGACAGCGACAGTGATCCAAGCGAAAAGGCCCTCCTCCAGCGAATCGCCGAGGTAGACGTACTCGAGGAAGGGGTCGGAGTCGGAGTTCTCGGTCTCGGCGATGACGACGTGGTCCTCGGCGTTGGTGGTGATGTCGACGTCGTTCGTGTTGTAGGGCGCCGTGGCTTCGATCTCGTAGATCAGATCCTGGTCCCAGAAGATCTGGCCAATATGCGCGGCGTTGCCGCCCGTGAGCGTGTTGTTGGGGAGGACGGTGGCGTTGGTGAAGACGACCATGTGGTGGTGCGTCGCGCGGCCTGTTGTTTTGCGTCAGTCACTGCTGAATGCCTAGAAGAAAGAAGCTGGGGATGGGGATGCTGCGTTGCCGTTCAACTTACCGGAGTAGTGGCCAGGGAAGACGGATTCGAACGTGGCGACACCATCAGCATCCGTCTTCTGCAGACCGCGCAGGAACGTCGTGTTCACGTTGGCCGTGTCGGCCGAGTTTCCATTGCCACTGCCCGTGGCGCCCGAGTAGACGCCCGTGGCGTTGCAGTTCCACAGGTCCCAGTAGACACCCTCGAGGGGCTCGCACGTCTCGACGTCGACGAACTGGCCCTCGACGACGATGGGGATGCCGGCCTGGCCCTCGCGCACGTCCGAGCGGATATGCTCGCCCTTGACCCAGAAGGGGCCGATCTCGCCCTCGGGCGCAAGGATGCACGTGTTGTTGGTGGCGAAGACAATGTCCTCGCCGTTCTGCGGCGTGATGCCCGTCAGGTCCGAGTGGTGCGTCTTGTTGACGATGGCGTCCGTGTCGCGGATGACGTGCCGCTTCTTGTGCTTGGCCACGGCGGCTTGGCGACGCGCCACCGCGCGCGCGTTCAATCCGCGCGCCTCGAACTTGTCCGCGCACTTGTTGAGGCTGCGCCGCGCGTTGGACCGGAACTCCCGCTTGGCCAGAGCAGTGGCGGCGTCGTGCTCCTCGTGCTCGCCCGGATGGGCCGCAGAGAGGGCGGCAAAAGCCACGGCGGCGAGTTTGGAAAGCCGAAGAAGCTGCATGGTTGCGGGAAGACGATGCTGAGTGAGTGGATGTCAAGCAGAAACGAGTGTTGACTGTGGGGATGAAGAGCAAAGAAAGAGCTGGCGTTGTTTATATATATATATATATACCTCATGTTTGATTGAACTAGCTCAAAGCTTTGTGACATGGAAATCGGATACAAAGAAGCCGAGTCGACAAGGGCGACGTGTTTGCCGGCGCATGAACCTCCGTCTTCTGGCTTTCACCGGTTATCGTCATATGTCTTAGATATGGCAGCAAACGTGGTATAGCTAACTGGTGGTAGCGGGCAGAAAGAAGCGGACACTATGAAACTAGCCCGTGGAAGGCCCTAGGGGGGTGGGACGGATATGCAGGAACGGAGCTTGGCATCAGCTGGACCTATAGAAAAGAAGACGTTTGAAAAGCAGTGCCAGTTGTAACGGGAAGGAGGCTTGCGTAAGCTTGTGTGTGGATATGCGATCTGCTGGTGGGCGACTGAGACATCTGCAAAATGGTGAGCAATCCTCGCCACGCCATTGGCCAGTGCCCAGACCGCCCGGATAGCGATCCGGTCGCTCTGTTGCGAGCTCCGCAATTGACTCGACCCAAACACAAGCCAAGCTTTGGGCGGAGCGGCCGCGTACGTGGTCCTCTGTAACAGCCCTAGACGTTAAAAAGCCGTTGAGTGGCTGAGAAGCGATCTCCTACTCACTGTGGGTAAAACATACGCCTGAGCGGCCTTGGCGGTTGAAATGACGACCTGCTTTCGGGAATTCGACATGCGGATAAGCGTTTCCTGAGGGCTATAGTGTATGCTTGGCAAACAAGCAAGTGCTTCCGTGGAAGCTAAGATTCTTGGCGCCACGTACCTCGAGCCGAGACCGCGCGGAAACCTTCCACCTTCCTATGCTAGAGAGGTTGTAAATGCTCGCCGCAGCAGCAGCAGCATTGAACGCGTGGCGAAAGGGGCAGTTACGTCCTGGATGACGAGGAATGTTTAACATCAAGCATAACCACCTAGGTTCTGCCAACTTCATCATTGGGACGAGTAGAAAAGCAAAACTAGTTTGAGACAGTGGATGTCTGGCCAAGGTTTCTACGAATGACTTTAAATTGAGTTGAAAGGGTTTGTTCAAGAAGATGCGAATGTTTGAACTTGCTTACCGGTGCAGGGAATGGATACAATCGGCCTTTCCCCTGTCCAAAGAGCCAGCGGAAGCCGAGACTGCTGCAGGAGTCCAATCCGTTGTCCAATATAGGTTCAGGGAGGTCCTCGGGACGACGGCCCCGAAAAAGTTACACTGATATCTCCTCAATAAGAAACCCTTCCAAAATGCGTCCCGAACCACGCCAAAGCCTGCTCTTCGGCCTCGGTTGCCTGTCTCTCCGCATCCAGCAGGACGAGATCAGCTCTGACGCAAAACCCATGGCTAGCACCGAGATACGTCCTGACCTCTCCCCTCTCGCCCTCCGGCTTTCCCTCAATCACGTCCCGAATCTGCTGGACCTGCGGCGGCTTGAGGGCATGGTCCTTATCGCCCACCGCGAAGCTCATTGGTATCCTGACGTTCTCCAGCTCCTCAGGAATCTGCAAGCGGCTAGGGTGGCCGGTGAAAGCGGCGTCGATAAGAGGTTTCCCGTTGGCGGCCTCGTGGCCATGCGCTAGATGCGCGGTGTGTTTGCCACCCCAGCAGAAGCCGGCGGCGCCGATGGGGAGGGATGCGCCTTCGTTTTCGCGCACGGCGGTCATGAAGGCCTTGACTGTTGGCCAGGTTTTCGGGAATTTGCTGTGCATCATGAATGGTAGACCGCCGTATATGAGGCGCGCGAGGTAGAACCTGCTGGTGTGAGGGACGGGACCTAGGTGGGAGTAATGCGCGCTTACGGTTTGAGAAGCCAAGTTAGGGTGCTGTCGGTACGGTACAGAGCTCTTAGGCAATCGGTAGCCCATACGGGGATGACATGTCCTATCAAACGATGTTAACAGTGAGCCATGTGGATCCAGCTTGTATACCATAGGGGTTAAAGTTACCATTCACGAAATCAGGTAGATACACTTTGTAATCACCCTTCTCGGCATAGTGGTCGGCCAGAAGCCTATTGTTCACAAACTCCCAACCAAAGCCATCATGGAGGATGACGATAATGCCTTTCACCGGGGTGCCTTCAGCAGGTTGGCTAACATACGTGTCGATGCCGTGTAGTTTGGTCACTTGGCCCTTCGGCACGCCAGCGTGGACATGGCCACCGAAGCAGTCAGGACAGGACATGGTGAATATTTCGTCTGCAAGGGAGGGACATGGCGCAAAATGGCACTTTAAAAATCCAAACGGACGGATTTAAGATCGGGGAACTGTACCATGCAGGCAGCCAAAGTATGTTGGTGTTGCGAGTAGGCAACCACAGAGCTCACGTAAGCGACGGTGGTACGGAGCGTCCGACTGGCCGTTTCGACCTGTGAGTCAGCTCTTGCATCCTTCTTAAGTCCGGGTCAATGAAAGCTGTTGGTTTGATTACCTATGCGCCCCTCCACAAATATGTATATCCGCCCGCCTTTCCTAATCGGGTAAAGCTTCCACTGATTAATATTCTCTACCGCCGCATCCTCGTACGGCGCTGCGAGGAGCGTAAGGCGCAATGATTACCTAGGCAGGCGGTGGTAGGAGGCCGAGGGGGGCGGAGGGCTGGGGGGCGAAGAGGTCTGATTCGGGTCGACAAGGCCTCTGCAAGTGTGTGATCCCCGAAGTCCCAGGCACGATCATCGCTGGGAATGCGCAAGATAGTCCATCCAGATCCCACGATCCCACGACTATCCGTCAACAAACAAAGCCAGCTGCGAGGCTCAAAGAGCATAGCACTCGCCATCACCGAGAGTAAGCTGATGGAATTTGCCAAACCATCGATCCACTGTCCACAGCCCAAACGACGAAGCTGACATCAGCTCCCCCAAGCGCCTGCACCACATCCGAATTCCACCATTCAGCGCATCCAGCCAATAAGGACGCAATCGCAGCCTTCGCGGCACACTCCAACAGGCCCTGCAGGTTCGCTGAGCGGTAAAACTCTGATATGCGGGCCGAGGCGCAGCGTGCAGCTCTTACAGTTACAGCACGAGCGTCGCGGGCGCCACAACGTCAACAGTAAGGCACTGCGTAACTCGTTGTACGTAGCACAGCAGCAGGCGAGCCGAAACGGCCCTCGCAGTCTCGCAGTAGGTACCCTCGGTCAGGCGACGCACGTGCGGCGCGCATCCAAAGCGGGGAAATGTGGGGAAGGAAGCGCGTGCGGTTAACGGGTTTCGCCGAGCCGGGTACATGGGACGGAGGGACGCTGCTTGGCTGCGCCGTACGCATCAGGGGACAGACACACGAGCTGCGGCGGCGCAGGGATCGCTCCGGCCGCCGGCCTTGTTGAAAAAACGTCGCGCCCGCGGTTCCTCCCGCCCGCTGCCGCGTGGCGTTTTTACCTTTGCGGCTTCGCCCCTTGTCCCTGTCGTGGTCCCCTCTTGCGCAACAGACAGACCATCAAACAATCAAACAAACAAACAAACAATAGTTACAATACAATGGCAGCCGCAGAGATCGAGGTCGATGCCGGGGTAAGTGCGCTGGTTGTGCCCTTCATCTGTCGCCGACAAACCTACGTGGGCATGACTGACTGACTTTGGGCCAGTTTGACGGCGACTCGGCCGTCGGCAGCATCGACGACCAGCTGTACGCTCCCTCCCTAGCTGCGTTCCTCGCTTTCCGCCGCCACCCCCGCTGACGCAGTCCTCTGTCCTACCTACCCAGCTCCGCGTTCTCGCAGTCCCTTACCTCGAGCGTGACCGCGTATCCCGTCGAGCATGGCCGCCGCTACCACGCCTACAAGGACGGATCCTACTTCATGCCGAACGACGAGACGGAGCAGGACCGGCTGGACATCATGCACCACATGCTGAAGATCGTGCTGGGCGGGCGGTACGTCCTGTGCCCGATCGCGGAGGCGCAGCTGCAGACGGGGCGGATCCTCGACGTCGGGACCGGCACGGTAAGGCGCACAATCCGTCCTTGAGCGCGCCTTGTTTTCCCGTGCTAACAGATATCCAGGGCATCTGGGCCATAGAAATGGGTACGCACACACACGCGCACGCACACCCCCAACGCGCAAGCTGATCCGCTGCCCCCTCCCCCCCCAGCCGACAAGTATCCCGACGCGGAGCTGCTGGGCAACGACCTCAGCCCCGTGCAGCCAACCTGGATCCCACCAAACGTGAAATTTGAGGTCGACGACGTGGAAGCGCCATGGACGCACGCGCGGCCCTTCGACCTGGTGTTCTGCCGGTACATGGACGGCGCAATTTCCGACTGGCCGGCGCTGATGCGCAACGCGTTTGCAAAGACGAAGCCGGGGGGCTGGGCCGAGTTCCATGCGTTCGATACGAACTATAAGAGCGATGATGGCACCCTGAAACCTGATGCGTATCTTAATCGGTTCGTGGAGACGCTGAAGGACGGCTGTGGCAGGATGGGGAAGGAGCTTGTTCCTGGCCCGAAGCTGGAGGGCTGGTTTAAGGATGCTGGGTTTGTGAATGTTGGCGTGCAGACGTTCAAGGTGCCGCTGGGGCCTTGGGCTAAGGATAAGAAGATGGTAAGTCCGGCCCGCTATGTTTTAACCTAGGGAAAGAGAGGAGTGGAGATGGCACAAGGAACTGTGCGTGCGTGCTAACGTCAAGTAGAAAGAGATTGGCATGCTCAACCTCATGCAGGTGCTCGAGGGCATGGAGGCCTTTTCTTTCCGTCTCTTCATGTCCGTTCTCAACTGGAAGCTCGAAGAGGTGCAGGTGTTCAACGCCAAAGTCACCCAAGAGCTGAAGGGCAAGACCGTGCATCCGTACTACACCTTGTAAGTATTTCAATACGGTTGCTTGGCGAAGTGGTACTGACTTACATTTTACATAGGTATGTCGTTTATGGCCAGAAGCCAGAGGACTCGTAGCAGAAATCGACCTTTCTTGATAGCTCAGAAATCTATATATCTGGATATCTGACTGCAAAATTCCCCACGCAATGGGTAAGAGTCATAGTGTTCCTCCTCATTTTCATTAGTCTCTCCCGTTACTGCTTGTTGTGCCAGCTTCATACTCTAATGACTACGAACGGTGATGGAAGACCGCATTAATACTTACAAAAGCTTTACTTGCTGTGATTCGATCACATCTCACCAAGCCGCCGTCCCCTGCGGCGTCTCGCCAAAGATCCAGTTCATGGGCTCCAAGCCCTCAGGTTCAAACAACGAATCCGCCATCTACCAAACATTCGCATTAGCTACCAAAAAGCGTCATCACGAAACCCCACTTACCAGCTTGTCCCAATCATCCAGCACCGACGTCTCACCCAGCGCCATCTGCTGCGCCTCACCTACACTTTCTTCGCCCCAACCTCGCGCAGCCATTCCCTCAAGCAAAGGCACACAAGCTGCCGCCGCGTTACGCATCGCCTTTACCAGCAGAGCGTGGATCTCGTTTCGGCCGAGCCGAGCACTGAGCCCTCTGATCAGCGCAGTAACCACGCACACAAGCACGTAGCCCTTGACGTTCGTCTCACCGATCTCGACGCACCGCAGGCACCACGCTTCCGCGTCGGCCAGCACAGCAAGCAGGTCCGGGCGCAGGCGCACAGGGCCTAGCCCTTCGTCTTCTTCTTCTAGTGCGGTTTTGAGCTCTATCGCTACGAGCAGGGCGGCTTGCATCGCGGCGGTGCGGTAGTAGCCCGAGCCGCAGGCCACTAGGCGCGGTAAGGCGTCGTGGAGGGAGGCGGTGATATCGCTGTTGCTCGCGCTCTCACTCTCGCTATTACTGCGAGGCTGGGTTGGTAAAGCTGTCGAGGCCGGGCACGCTGCGCACCAGATCTTGAGCGAGGCCTCGAGCACGACGGCCCTGGAAAACGCGTAGGCTGGCTCGAGCGCTGCAAGAGCAAAGAACGGGACGTGTAGAGCGGACAGGTAGCGGTTGATGAGGAAGTCGACGGCGCGCAGTGCGAACGCCGAGGGCGCGAGACCGGTGTTCGAGCCGTGGCCGCCGCGGAGGCTGCGACGTAGGGCCCTGTATGCCGCGCGCAGCTGGGCGTCGAGCCGAAGAGTCTCCTCGTACGTGCCGTGCGCGCTGAGATCGTTCAGGAACTTGGTGACGGCGAGGCGCAGCGGAAACGTCGCCCGAAGCGCTATCGCAACCGTTGCTTGAGTGAACTGGCTGGCTGGCTTCGGCACGGGGTTGTCGGCCACGAGCTGCTCGTCGTCAAGATTCCTTGGGGGCTGGGCGTCAAAGTCGTCCAGGGAAACAAGCGGCGGCCCCCCGGAGGTCAGACTCGACTGCAGCACGACCTCGAGGATGGTGTTCCAGAGCCTGCGGCGCATCTCAGTTGCAAATATTGTACTCTTGGGGAGATGTGCCGGGTCGCGATGCAGCCCCATGCTCACTGCTCTTCTGAGGAGCGCGCCCGCCGAAACCCAGACCGAGTCGCCGCCGACACCTACCAGTTCGCGAGCAAGCAGGAGCAGGACGTTGATTTGGAGGAACTGGATGCCCAGTCTTGCCTTGAACTCTGGCTCCGAGATCCAGGTCTGCGCCTCGTACACCCATCGGATGGCTGACGTCCGCAGCGAGAATTGCTCGTCGTACGTGGTTGCGCCGATGGCAAAGACGAGCTTGAGTTGCACCAGGAAGGCCATGTCGGGCTCGGAGGCTGGCGTCCAGAGCGCCTCGTAATCACGTCTGAAGCTGGGAATGTGCAGGATTCGATGCACGGTCTCGACGGTTCGGAGGTAGCAGTCGACAAGCTCGTCAGCAACTTCTCGCCCGGGCAGGTCTTTTGTTGGCGATGACGGCCACGGAGGAGCCCGCCTCGATTTGATGGCTTTTGCTAAGGATTTGCACCGTTGCATGGCGGGATAAACAGCGGAGGACTCGTCGCGCAGATGCGACAGGATTACCTCGACGACGTCTTGCAACTACTTGCCATTGAATCTCGGAATGGCAATAGACGTGCTAGCACAGAAGGAAACACTTACAGGCGAGACCCCGTTAATCCAATGGCTTTGGCCAAGCAAACGCGTCTTATGCGAAACACTGCGCGTGATTGCTCGAGGGTGGCTGGACATGCTGCCCTCTCGATGGAAGTAGATTGTTCCGCCCAAGCTCGACGAAGCCGCGTCTATGCCCGAGTCCGGGATCGAGGCTGGGTGTCGTACTGTTTTAGGAGTCGGAGCCGCTTCAGAAAGCCGATCCTCAAGCTCTCTAACCCTAGCCTTCATGGCCTCAAACTCCGAAGCATACGACCGATCTAGAGGCGTAGGTGACATTCGCACCCCAGCAGCAGCCGCACTCTCGCTCGACGGCTGCCTTGGAGCCGTCGCTGCTGTGTCCGCACTGGCAGCAGAACTCGGCTCGCTCAGCCGTGCAGCCTGAGAAGCATGGTTCTCATACACGCACGCGGCGTTCCTGGCGCGCACGCAGTTGGCACACGGCGTCTCGCGGCTACAGCGCAGTTTGCGGCGCCGGCACAGGGCGCACGACCTGCGGCGCGCGGCTTGTCAGTCAGTCAGTCGGCGCGGAAGTACAGAGGCCAGCGACAGGAAGGAGGGAGAGCGCAGACGCACACGGCGGGCCGTCTGTGGCGGCGCGAAGGCTTGTTCATTGTGGTGAGGTGGGTGGTGCTAGGTGTGAGTGTGAGCTGGACTGACTACGTCAGACAGTAAGGTAGGTAGGTAGGTAGGTGAGCTTCCTGGGTCTGCGCCTCTGGTCCGTCGCGCCCCCCATTTGCCGTCCTTTCTGCGCGCTTGGTCCGTCTCGCGTCCCTTTTGCCGACTCCGAGGCCGAGGCCGCGATGCTTTATAGAGTGTAATATACCGCTATATAAATACGCTATGGCAGACGGATATCTCGATATCGGCTCGTCTCCTACCCTACTACTATATATAATAGCATGGCATCCAAAACCCCGCAAGAAACCCCAACTCCTAGCACACCCTCCCCCGACCCAGCGCCCGACGGCGGCGCCAGAGCATGGCTCGTAGCGGCCGGCGCAGCGAGCGTCTTCTTCTGCTGTCTGGGCTTCGCCAACTCCTTCGGCACGCTGCAGGCGTACTACCTGACGCACCAGCTGCGGGGCGAGTCGGCCGACGCGGTCGCCTGGATTGGCTCGCTGGGTGCGTTTCTGCAGTTTGCGGCTGGGTTGGTGGGGGGGCCGCTGTTTGATCGGTGGGGCGTGATGGTGCGTTTGGCTTCCTTCTCTTCTTCCCTCTCTTCCTCTTGCTCTCTCTCGCTCGCTCTCTTGCTCTTGGTACCTTTGCGGATCCACTAACAAGACGCAGGTCGTCCGCCCCGCCGCAGTCGTCTACCTCGCCGCCATGATGCTGCTCAGCCTCTGCACCACGTACTGGCAGCTCATGCTCGCCCAAGGCGTCCTCATGGGCCTGGCAACCGGCTTCCTGCAGCTCCCCGCCTTCGCCGCCGTCGCGCAGCACTTCTCCCGCAAGCGGGCCAGCGCGCTTGGTCTCGCCGTCTCAGGCTCCTCAATCGGGGGCGTGGTGCTGCCGATCGCGCTGTCCAAAATGCTGAACAGCTCGGCCCTCAGCTTCGGCTGGTCTATCCGCATAACCGCGTTCCTGCTCCTGCCATTCATGGCCTTCGCGGCGCTCGCGCTCCGGCCTTGCCTCCCGCCGCGGACGACGGCGTTCTGGCTCCCCTACGCGTTTAAAGAGCCGCGTTTCCTGCTCCTAACGCTCGCGCTCTTCTTCGCCTTCACAGGCATGTTCACGCCGCTGTTCTACCTCCCTTCCTACGCCTCCACCGTCGTCGGCACGCCCGCCACGCTGGCCGGCTACCTCCTCGCGATCCTGAACGCCGCGTCTACGCTCGGCCGCATCGTCCCCGGCGTGCTGGCCGACCGGTACGGCCGGCTGAACATGTTTGCGGGCGGCACCCTGGCGACTGCTATCGTTGTCTTTTGCTTGGACGAGGTGCGGTCCACTGCCGCGCTGATCGTGTACGCCGTCGTCTTTGGCTTCGCGTCCGGCACGATTGTCTCGGGCGCTTCGGCGGCGTTTGCGGCTTGTCCCGCGGATGTAAGGGACGTGGGCACCTATATGGGCATGGGGATGGCGGTGAGTGCGCTTGGGGGCTTGATTGGGCCGCCCGTGTGTGGTGCGCTTGTGCAGCGTTATGGTGGGTTTTTGGAGGTCGCGGTGTTTAGTGGCGCCATGTGTTTTTGTGGCGGATGTGTGTCACTGCTGGCGAAGCTGACGACGCCGCAGGGGATTTGGGGGAGGGTGTAGTGTGTGCGTGTGTGTGTGCGGGTTGGGTTGGGTTTTGCGACGGGGATGGGATAGGGGTGCGCTGGGGTTGGGGATGTTGGGCGTGTGGAGTTCGTGGTCTTGTTGTGGCGTACGCTAACTAGCTCAGCTTCTTCTTCCTATCGATCGTACTGTGCGAGGAAAGACAGCATCACGCGAGCTATGCCTGATGTAGATCCCGTACCTATAGCCCACTACGCACCCCCTACCCCGCGCCCGCAGTCCCACTCTCCCAATCCTTAGCACTCCCAACGCGTGCACAAGCTCCCTCCTCGCTGCCGCCAGCACTTCTATCAGCATTTTCGCCAGCTCAAGGTAATCCCTCGGCCTCCTCTCGCGCACAATCGTCATCTCGCGGTCAAAGTCGGCCCACCTCTCATTCTTCTTCACATCCGCAACCGCATTCCAACTGGAAGTTTGTGTGGTTGCAGATGCGGTAGAAGTGGGTGGGGGGCGTGTTGTCGATGCCGGGTTTGGCGGCGAGGCGCGTCAGGAGCTCTTTAATGGTCGTGAAGCGGGCACTGTTTAGGTAGGGCCCGGTGGAAGACGACGACGTGTCAGAGGCGCTGATTTCCTCGTCTGGTCCGGGGCGCAGGTAGTCTTGGGATTCGGGGAGGTCGAACTGCCTGAAGCTCGTGGGGCCCTCTTTGGATAGTCTATGCAGGATTGGGGCATCGAAAGGCCGCTGTAGGTTCGTGTTTGATGTTGCCGTGTCGCTTGTGAAGACGGCATCGTCTTGTAACGGGCCAATGGATATGAGACTTTTTCCAGATTGCGGAGTAGACTGAGAAGCTTGTTTGCGGCTTGATTTGGGGCCGAGAAGGGAATGCCCTAAGTGGTCGGCTCGAGCTTGACTGTGGGTTCTGGCTGTTTGGGTTCGAGCTTGACCTCAGTTGCTTTGTTGCTGGTTTCTTGCTCCTTGGGTTCGAGCTTGACTTTCGTAACTTTGCTGCTGATTACTTTGCTGCCGGTTCGACCGACTCCAGTCACTTCTTCAGTGCCTTTGCTGCTGCTCTCCGACCGTTTAGGATCGAGCTTAACCTCAGTAATTTCATTGTTGGTCTGACCGGCTTCAGTCACTCTCTTGCCATATCGACCAACCGCAGCCAGTGAGTGCACTGCGGACGCGCGGCCGTTTACGAGCCGGTTCGACGTCAGACAGCTCGTCGTCTGGTTCCATACATACTGGCCGCGATTTGAGCTTCCTGGTCTTTTCGTACTAGATGAGCAATGACGAGCAACGGCAATGAGTGAGACTCACGCAAGCAGCTTTCTAAGTGATAACGTAGACATGTTAGCGGTATTTGTAGGGACCATGCCGTTTGCTGTTTGTTGTTTGTTTGATGGTGGTTGATGGTTCCAGACTGACGGCCAATCGGGAGGCGTTTGGCGGGCTACTCGCGGCTGTCGGCTGAATGTCGGTGAGTATGATCACGTGCGCGGTCTCCATTTATGAGTAGGCAAGGTTCCAACAGATCGGCAATGTCATTCTTACCGCCGCGCTTGTCACTGCCCGCGCGCGCCTGTTGCGCGCTGTGCCGTTGATCGTTGGTGCCGCCGCTTTCGTGAGGCCCTGTTGAGATGGATGGCACCGCCGACATCGACGACTGGAAGTCGGGCGTCGCATGGATGCCATCGCGCTCTTTCGTGTGTTAGTCAGACAGCAGACGGGCGCGTTTGTATGGACGGCATGCGCCTTGCTGCAAGCACCCGCCCGACGAGGGCTAGGAGTCAATCGCGTCGACCATGCGCGTGCCAAGATCAATCAAACAGACTTTGGACTAAGGGGGCATTCCTGCGACAGCGGCCAGTAGGTTGCAGCTTCACACCAGCCTCGTCATTTCCACCCTTTCCTTCAGGAGGAGTCCCTGCCATGTCTTTAGAGGACAGCCGGGTTCCAGCGCACGAGACTGCGCGCATCAGCGATGCGTTATTCAGCCATAGACGAAGGGTAGCGGGATGATGAGGTGTCGCTGCGCCTGAGCCGTGTCGGGCGCAGGCCTTGCAAACGGGCTGTACCTGGCCCGTCGCGGTCGGCCTTGAAGCCAGCCTTTTGGGCGCGCGCACGTCACAGCCACAGACACAGCCTTGGCGGTATTTTTAGAGTCGGGTGTGACTAGGTAGGAGTAGGGAGGGAGGGTGTCTTTAAAGCACAGTCGTCCAATGGCGTGAGATTTGGGCAATCTAGATGGACAGCGCAGAAGATGAGCGTCGTCGAATGGAAAGGCTTGCGAGTCGACGGCAAAACGGCGGCGGTTCGGGCTTTGTCTCTGCAGAAGAAAGAGAGTCGCGACGCCAACGCTGCCGTCTGCCACGTGCCGTTTTGTGTTTTTGGGGGCCAACACCACTTTTCCCACTAGCTTTCCCTCTCCGCCTCTCGCTCTTCAGCCAGCCCATGCTAATTTTGCCTTTGCCGCCGTCCAACGTTTAGCGGCTCAGCCCCGCTCGGCCAGACCCTGAAGGATCAAAGGTGCCGAAGCAAAAGCTCCACCGAAAGACACGACATGCGGAAAATGCCTTTGTGATGGTGGGAGAGACGATGGGAGATGAGGGCAGCGCTGTGGTGAAGTTGGCTGAAACATTGATGAAAGAAAATAGTTGCGGAATAGTGGTGGTGGCTTGGTGCACTAGCAGCTCTTCCCGTCCCGCATCGTGCCTTCCATTTTCATCGGTCTGACTTGTGGAAGGCGAGCTAGGCATCCACGACCGACTCCACTACTAGCCTGAGTTGGCATCTCCAGGCCCCCATCCGTGATCCCTAGCCTGCGCCGCCCTTTGCATCTGCTCGCCCATATAGCCATGCACCTCCAACTCGAGCGCCGTTCCGCCTCGCTGGCTCTCACGTTCCCTGCCGTCGTCCGCCACGCTTCACCACCATGAGACGCCACTACCTCTTGCTCTGCCTCGCGCAGCTTACCCGTCCGCTCTGGGCCCAGTCGACCACCTCCACCGAGGAATCGGCCAGCTCTACTACCACCAGCTCCACCGCCGCCGCGACGCACACCATCTCCGTCGGCGCCGGGGGCAACCACAAGATGTCGCCCAACACGACCACTGCAAACGTCGGAGACACGATCGTGTTCGAGTTCTTCCCCACGAACCACTCGGTCATCCGATCCGAGTATGCTGGTGCCGACAACTGCCCCGACGGAGGATGCAACCCTTGCGTGCCGTACGAGCTGTACTATCCGGAAGACGAGGACAAGGCTTTTTTCTCAGGCAACCGCGAAGTTTCTTCGTACGCAGACGTAGGCCTTCCCCATCAGTCAATTGCCATGGCAACGCGCGCTAACGTTTTGCCGTGTAGACGCAAACGTGGAGTCTGACGGTCAACGACACGGACCCCATCTGGTTCTACTGCAACGCACTGAGCTCGTGCTCCCCCAATGCCATGGTCGGAGTCATCAACCCTGTGAGAATCCGTGCCTACTGAACTCCTCGTGTCCACTTACTCATGCGAACCCCAGGGCACCAACCAGACCATCGACAAGCAGATCAGCGCCGCCAAACACTCAGCTTACCAGCTCGCGCCGGGCGAGGACTGGCCGGCCGAGGGCAGCAGCAGCAGCAGCTCCGACGACGACTCAAGCAGCAGCAAGCACAAGAACTCGATCCACCTCTCGGGCGGCGTCATCGCAGGCATCGTCGTCGGAATCGTCGTGTTCCTAGGCCTCTGCGCCGCCCTCGCCTTCTTCATCGGCCGCAGCCGCGCCTACGGCAAGATCTTCAAGAACGGCAGCTCGGGCGCGGGCTCGCAGCCCGCCATGTCGGAAGCGGGCTACCCAACCGCGTCGCACGTGCCGGGCCCCGGTGCCGAGAACCCGTGGTTCCAGCAGCAGCAGCTCATGTCGGCGCCGGACCGGATGGGCAGCCCGCCGCTGCCGAGCCCGCCACTCAGCAGCCCCCCCATCGGCTTCCCTGGCGCCCCCGTCGACAACAAGCACATGTCGGTCGCGAGCTTCAATCCCCAGCAGCGCTGGAGCGACAGCACCGGCGTGTCCAACTTCCAGCGCGCCGCGAGCCCCGTGCCTCTCGAGGGCGGCGGCACCTTTGTCGGCTATAACCGCCTCACTGGCGCGCCGGAGTTCGCTGCCGAGGTCATGGGCGATCAGACGATGGTCGCGACGCCGCCCGTTGAGGGTGCAGCGGCGCCCGAGAAGAAGGACGACGCCAAGGCGAATTCACCGGTCGAGATGGATGCGCGCGAGGGCGCACATTTCTGAGGTGCGATGATTGATGGCGGCGAAGAAAACGAGCGTTTTCGATAATTTTATGCTTGTGTTTGTGCTTTTTCTGTTGTTGTTTTGGCATGGTTTGGTTTGGGTTGGCTGTAAATAAAAGAGCGCGGATGGCGAGATGCATGGTTGGATGGACGGATGCATGAATGGGCGGTTGGGACGCCAACGAACGACATATACCCCCCTCGGTTGGCTTGGCAAATGATCTTATTAGGTACATACATACATACATACTCATGACTGCCACAGCTGTTGCTAATTCTACTACCTACGAATGAGAAGCTTGACTTTTGTATATGAAGACTGGCGGGAAGACGAAAGTGGAGGTTCGGATGGCGCCATTGAAGGGCATGAATGGCATGCTCTGGAGGCCTGGGGCAAAGGCAAAAAACCACCGCGGCATCATTGCCCTTTGGGGGCTCCGGCCCGGCGCCGGTGCCGGTGCCGGTAGGGGGGAAAGGCGGCGATCGGCTGGGTGCGCCGAGATGGAAATTTCGTGCTCGGCTTTGGGGTGGGGTGGCCCGAGTTGCGCGGGTATATGGCTGGTCTTTTAAGAGCGTGGGATGCGGGTGGTTGAGATCGGGATCTGGATCTGCTGCTGCTGGATCTGGCACGGTGTTCTGCGTCGTAACCAACACCGCCACAATGCACATCCCGCTCCTACGCCTCGTGCTTGCTTCCCCTGCCAGCACCGGCTTAACCTCCTCCTCCTTCGTAACAAACCCCACCTCCACCCTCTCCCCCGCCGCGCCCACGGCCTCCCTCCCCGCTTACGGCACCTTTGCGGGCACAACCATCAACGCCACCCTCAAAGGCGATGCATTCCGTTCCGGCGGCGCAGTCGAAGCCTGGCTGGGGATTCCGTACGCGAGCCAGCCGGTTGGAGAGGACAGGTTTAGGCCTGTGGGTGCGCCAGAGGCGTTTGTGGGAACGCGAGGCACGAAGGACTATGGGCGGGTGTGCGTGCAGGATCCGAGCTCGTTCCATGCCGACGAGGACTATGAGCAGGGTGAGGACTGTCTTAGCGTTAATGTGTTTAGGCCGGTGGGAGCTGGTGGAAATGAGGAAGGGGAAGAGAAGGAACTCCTGCCGGTGCTGGTGTGGATCCATGGCGGCGGGTTTGTGAGCGGCTCGGCGCGGAGTTTTGACGGCGCGACGTTTGTGAGCGAGGCTGTTGAGGGGGTGGTCGTTGTTACGTTTAATTACCGGGTGCGTCTCCCTCCTATCCATCCTTCTTCTCTCTCTCTCCAACCTTTTTAAAACAACAAGCAGTTCCTCGTATTGACCGCCCCCGCAGCTCAACTCCCTGGGCTTCCTCCCCTCCTCCCTCTTCGAGCGGCACGACCTCCTAAACCTAGGCCTCACGGACCAGCGCCGCCTCCTCGCCTTCGTGCAGCGCTACATTGCGGCCTTTGGCGGGGATCCCGCACGCGTGACGCTGGGCGGCCGCTCCGCCGGCGCCCACTCCACCGGCCTGCATCTGTACCACAACTACGGCGACGCGGCGGGCGTGGGGCCGGGGTTCGCGCAGGCGATCCTGCAGTCCGGCTCTGCGACGGGGCGGTCCTTCCCTGGCGCCGAGTATCCGCTGTACAAGCAGCAGTTTGCGACCTTTTGCCAGAGCGTGGGGTGCGGGGCCCTGAGCAGCGCTGATGACGACAGTGATAGTGGGAGTGCGGACGCAGACGCCGACGCCGCGCTGCTGGCCTGCTTGCGCGCCGCGCCCATCGACGCCATCCGCGCTGCCAGCTCCGCCCTCTTCAACGCCTCCGACTACGCCATCACGTGGCCGTTCCAGCCCACGCGCGGCGGGCCGCTCCTCGAGCGCGCGGGCTCCGTCTCCGCCGCCAACGGCACGTTTTACCGCCTCCCGATGCTGACGACCAACGTCCCCGACGAGGCCAAATACTACAGCCCCGCGCTGGCCACTGACGCCGAGTTCCTCGCGTTTCTGAAGAACCTGATCCCGGGGCTTTCGGCGCAGGATTTGGCGGATCTAGAGGAGCTGTATCCGGACCCGGAGACGAATAAGGATGGCCCTTATGTTGGCAGCCCGAATGCTACGCAGTATGATCGCGTTAGCGCCGCGTTGACGGATTATATGTATGCGTGCGCGGGCGTCGATCAGGCGGTAAGGCTGAGTGCTGCGGGTGCGCCCGTGTGGAAGGCCCTCTTTGCGACGAATAACTCGTTTCCGGCGTGGGAGGGCGTGCCGCATACGGCGGACACGAAGTAAGTTGTTTTGATATTTCCCTCTCTCTCTGTCTCTCTCTCTCTCTCGGTGCTGCTGCTGGAGGGACTTGGGTTGGAGTAGAAGTTTTAAACTGCAGTCAGTCATGCTGACGCCGCGACACCTAGGTACACCTGGAACGACCCCACAGTGCAATACCCCGAGATCGGCAAGCTGCTGCACACATACTTCGCCAACTTCGTCATCCACGGCGATCCGAACGGCCCCAACGCCAAATCTGCGGGGGCTGGGGAGGGCGGGCGGGCGGGAGGGTGGAGAGTGGGTGAAACCGCGCAACAGCCCCTCAACGCCAGCCCAGTGTGGCCGCGCTTCGTAGACGCGCTCGAGGCGGGCCGGCCGGGGCTGCAGTTGCGGATTGAGCCGTTTGGGCAGACGAGGGTGGAGGGCGATGCAAGGAGGAGGCCGCAGTGCGAGTGGTGGCGGGATGAAGAGAGGGCGGTGCGGCTGGAGAAGTAGGTAGGTAGGCTCGTGTTGGGGAGGGGGATTGAAAGGACTTTGGTGGAGGTATTTAAGAGTATGGAAATTGCGCGGGCTGTATTTGCCTTGGTGCGGCTTTTGGGAGCGAAGTTTTTCGTATGCAGAACGAACGGGTCTCTGACTGTACATCTTTCTCGGTGGATCTCCATCCGCACACGATGCCCCTCCCCTTACCAGCACATGAACCAACACCAAGAACCCTACCCCCACAAGCCCACCTACCAAAACCCTACCGTTTCCGCGGCAAAGGCGTCACAGTCCCCTCAACGCCAAAGCCAATGCGTCCGCCTGATCCATCGGGGGTGGAGTCTGTGCCGGAATGCTGCTGCACGATACCGAAGCGCAGTTTTGTTTTCGCGATATCCTCTGCCAGGGGCTGCGAGCCGAGCGTGCGGTCGGCGATGATTTGTTTGATCTGTTGGGGATGTATTTTGTCAGTCTTCTTGATAACCGTGTCGAAAACGCAATGGATAACCATACGTCAGGATTTTGCGTCGTGCAGATGATGGTTGATACGGAGGAGTTGTAGCTCACGCCGTTGGACCAGAGCGCGTAGAAGCCGATCGTGACCATTATCGCGGTGGCGAGGGTGGCGATGCCGTACGCGAGGAGGAGGTTGCGTGGTTGGTATGTGTATACGGTTTCTCGTATTGATTGATTGATTGATTGATTCGTTTAACGTCTATATGCAGTCTGAGACTATGACGGACGGTTCTATCTAAAGAACTAACTAGGGGGGTGTAGAGTCAAGATAAAAGCAAGGTTATGCAAGGAATGGTTGGATCTGAGCCGGTGTATAATACGAAGGAAAGAAATAGGTGTTGAGAAGTAGTATTGGGTAAAGGAGTGGGTATCTTTTATAGAGTAAAAACCCTAGGGGAAAACCTCTATAAAAGATAGGGAAAAGAGGTAGAGGCTAGGGGAGGAGTAAAGAGAGAGAGTCTAGGGATAGGCTCGAAGAGGCTCGACTCGG